TTCCACATTAAGACCCCCCGCGCGCTAACATCTGAGCCAACAAGAGTGATTAATATAATTTGAGATAACTTGTTTCATTATTGTTGTAAAATAAATAAAGTTTCACTGAGTAATTATGCTGTTACATAATTGAATTCAATACAAGCTGTATTTGAACAGCGACGCTGAACGGACTTAAACGGGAAATCATTTCGAAGACAAACGCAGTTTTTGAAGATAAATCCAAGGTCACCATCTATATGCATAAGTGTCTGTGTCTGCCAGGTATCCAATTATAGCGAAATAATCTTTAATTAGGAATGCTGTACCGATTAATCGTAAAACAACATGTTCCAAGTTATCAGTTAGGAGTTTTTTGCTGGTATCCCATGTATATACTAGTATACAATTATATATATCCCTTTATATTTACAGCAGGCTTGAACTCCACGATTGGATATTTTGTTGTTCGTTTTTATTTATTTGAACTGGTTAAGGCTAGTATTTGACACGACTGTTTTTCTGAATGTCTGTTTCAGATTTTGAGAGTATCGTTACTTTACATCGAAATAACGATATAAAAAAGATATATTGGTTCGCAAAAATGCTGCGATAGGCAATGCAGATAAGTTTTGATCTTAATACAGGACTTAACTTTAATATTTTTCTGAAACCGTTAGTACATATATGCTCTTATTACATTCAATCTCTCATCAGGACGTTCAGAACTTCTTCAATAATTAAAATAATCATTAAATTTAAAAGCATGCACATTATTGATTAACAGAGGTGAAGACCTATACATGCCAAATCAATAGTACATTTGTCCAAGAAATATTGACACCTAAATAAGGTCGTGAGTGTCTCCCTTCGGATTTTTTTTTTTTTTTTTTTTATTAAGTCAGTAAATCCTTTCTTAAAAAATCTTAAAAGAAGTTATAACTATGTTTTTTTCTTTAAAAGAACATGTTTAAATGTTTCAAATTCAATAAAAAAAAAAAAAAAAAAGATTGACTGAGTATTCCAGGTCAATCCATATATCATCATAAATAAATGCAAATAAACAAATAACTTATGTTTTCATTGGTTTTTTCTTTGAATTTTCAATTTTACAAAGACTATTTTGATTCAAGATTATGTTGATGCGTACATTCTACAGTGGAAATAATTGGTGCGGTGTGAACATGTCTGCGTGTTTCGCGTTGAGTAAACTAGAGTGAAAATAACCACACGCGAATAATTATTTAAAGACAATAGCTAAATAGAAAACACGAGTCCAAGATTTCAGAGTCATGCCAAAGTGAACATTGCCACACTGCGATCAGTTTAAAAGGTCACAACGCGATTATTTCCACACACGAAAATTTCAACTTTTACAGTACCCCAATAATCTTATTTCCACATATACTGTTTGAAATATTGAATTTTAACTTTGACTTTAAATAAACATATTTTATTAACCAGAAATGGAAAATAGGATTTGGCACAAGTTATTACAACTTTGAGGCCATCTCCTTACAACAATAATTCAAAACAACAGATGATGATATAGACTGTCAATTACAAACCATAGTACGTAGTATGAAGCGATTTTTAAAGTAACACATACACATCCATACCCCCCCCCAAAAAAAACACATATCTAAAGTCAAGTTCATAATCGAAACATGTTGAAATATTTCACTGGATCTAATACAAGTGTGCAGTTGTTTGAATACATCACAATTTGTTCCAAAACCACATTTTCATTTCCAAACAGTAATAATCTCAGCGTTAAATGTACATTTAAATGATTTATTTGGTCAAAAAGTACAGTACGAGCATTTGTGTAAGGTTGACATTCAAAGAAGAAGTGATAGGCATTTTCGCAATGGCTATCACTTCTTCTTTGTATGTCAACCTTACCAATGCTCGTACTGTACTTTTTGATCATATAAATCATTTAACATTTGATCCTGCTTTTTATTTAACCGTTGGAAGCACGGTGCAACTACAAACAGAACACGTTACATCTCCAGCACACACGCAGGCATACACACAAAGGGAGATATTAGCCAGGTGGCATAGGACTAGTAGTTAGCGCCTGATAAGGCAGCTCCTGCGAATTCCTCAAAATTGTATTGATTAATGTGTATGTTAATTGAATAAGTTGTATATCTATGCACTTTGTACTGTAAAGCGCTTTAAAGTGACTTTAATTAGCTAGATAGGGCGCTATATCAAATGCTGTATACTATTATTTATTATTATTATTAACTAATGAAACAATGTACAACAAGATGCATCTGATGTACTCACGTGCGTTACAAAATAATTCGTTCGAACGAGAGCTTTTAAGACTACAAGATACAAGACACTTTATGTAACGTCGCGTACATGTAAACAAGTAACATTAGCTCTTGAGAGCTATAATTGCGACAAACATATGACTGAAGTGAAATTATGATACTAGCAGTAAAGTATGGAATGAGAAATGCATTAATACAAGTTTAAAGCGCATACAAATACTTACCATTTAAATCTGTAACGCATAATGGCTACCATTTAGTTCAGTGTCCTAGGAACAGCTGTAAGGGAGATTTCGCCTAATGTGTCACTACTGTGGTGTATCCGCACTCAGCTTGTCGCGTCACGTGACCTAACAACTCCCGTTACACGTGTCACTCTGGAATAAAAAAAAAGGTATTCTCTGTTTTTGGAAAAAAAGGGTATTCTTCTTGACAAAATATGGACCCTGTCTAACCCGTTAAAACAGGAAAATTTGTGCTTTATATATAAACAATGGTTTTTAAAGAAATGTTGACATTGTGATTTTGCGGAGAATCAATGCCGTTAAATGGTATTATACTCATCTCTTTGCAAAATACACTATAAATCAATTTGTAGTTTTTTTTGAGGATTAAAGTGGCCCTTCATTTATGTTTGAACATTCAAAATACCTATTTCAATGCCAAGGGGTAATTTTCATTTTGACTTCTGCACATTTGTGTTTTTGTTATCATTTATAGATTACATTTACTAAATCAAAATTACATTAAAATTGGAGATATTCGTATCACTGTTGCTGCTCGCTATACACTATTATAACTAGTGTGCACTAACGCAACAACTAAATATTTAGTTTGCTGACAGGAGAAGGCGACCTAGATAGTCGCATTATTTAAATTAGTCTCTTCAATTACGGTTGTAAACATTTATCACGTTTTCTGGACCTAGAGCCATGGTTTTGTAACGTACTACTTGGATGAGGATGTGTGATGAAATATTCAGATAAGTACATGCGCACTGGTAACCACATACGACTAAGCAAATTCGTTCAAGACAATCACGTGGAAGAACATAAATAATTGTCCAATATTGCATATAGTACATATATATGTAGGTATGCAATAATAAAATATTTCGTTACATCGCCGACGAGGTGGAAATTAAATTATCAAATATGTCATTGCAATGTGTGCTTAACAGGTAGTGTTCGAGAACATTTATTTTATATAAACCGATGTAAAACACGCATTAAATCATCATCAACAGTATCGATTTGTTTTGTTATGCAAAACGGTGCAGGTATGGTGTTATATGAAAGTGCATACTTTCCTGCATTTTACGGGCAACATCCGAACAGATGCAAAATGTGGTCACTGTCTGATTTCGGCTTCGCGACTAGTGATGTTTTCCGTTTTGTTTTGGTGTTTCCTCGTTTGCCGTTGTTTATTTTAATTGAACTTCACTTCCATTCTGACCTTGTGTCGATTTCGTGTTAAATATCCCTTTCTGCCCGACCTCAAGTTAAAAGATTTTTATTAAGCGTTTTACTTTGTATCATCCTCGATATCCAGGGGTTTCGCTCACTTTCGCTCTCTACAACCCTGGAATATGTCATGGCAAAATTGAAGGCACGAAGATAATTGTTTGATTGGTAAAAAAACTGACCAATCGCTAGGCTGATACCTCTCCTTTGAAGATTACAAAGGAGAGATGCCCAACTTCAAAGCCTGTCAATTTTTACCGTTACATGACCGCGAGATTCTTTTGATGTACATCAAAGGATCGAACTTGTCTCATCAACAAGGTGGTGTGCACCGAGCCTTCAATTTTGCCATGACATATTCCAGGGGTGTAGAGAGCGAAAGTGAGCGTAACTCCTGGATATCGAGGATGACTTTGTATATGTGTGAATATATCAGACATCAATTAACATAAGTTTAGTATCGCGTTTATTATGAATATTGATATGATTTGTTTATAAAGAAAAGGTGATAAAAGACAGCAAGTGGAATCGAGAAGACACTACCTCGAGTAAAAGACATATAATGAACCCCACCAAGTGGTAAGACATTACAGCATTCGAAACAACAAGAGAATACCAAAGTGTCGACAAAACCATAATTTGAACTCAAAATCGATAAAACTAGGGCAAAATGCAATCAAAGGACAGGTTAACGCCGAGACTCTTGAAAAAAACCCAAGGAGAATAAGACCAGGAGTTCCGCAGGGTAAGCGTCTTCTGCTTCATCCACGACACCCTCCGTGTAAATCTTTGTCGAATCCAAGTAATGTTACAAGTGAACGTCCTCACATTGGGCACTCGGGTAGTGGCAACAGAACTACAATACATTCTAATGAGTATAACCAAAACCATCGACCTTCAAATCACACAAAAAAATAGCTTATTTCACTACGATATCCTGACGCCGACCCTAAAACATGTCCATAGTGTACATCAAACAGCATCTTTGGAAACCCTGTGTTGTAAGTTTGCCCGTCAGCAGTCCGATGCAAGCTTTTGAGTATCGAATCAACCGAGACGTACAAACAGCGTAGGAAGGGAAGCAAGGATGTAACTATCAAGGAAGGGAATGTTCGCGATAGGAAAAAATAACGAACAAGTTTTCTTTTCTCTTGGTAACATTTAGCATAGTAAAATCAATAAATAAATCACCATATGGTAATGGTGGGCTTAAAAGTTAACCATCACTTCAACGTTTGTTTCGTTGATGAATCAACACAAAAACAATGAATTTCAAAAGAATATCTTTATTTCACTCATTGAAAGCACCGACAATTTAAATGCAATGTACCAAGCTTTGGAATGTCCTAAATACAGGTACATTTTATTACAAAACATGCTATATTGCTACGTAAATGCTTACGTTAATATTGCATTTTGATCACAAGCAAAGCTTTTGAACAACATTTCTGAAATGCATTTTTTTTAATCATAGAGGAAATTAGGTTAAGTATATGCATAATATTCAAAGTTAACCTAAGTCGAACCTCGTTTGTCGAACAGAAAAAAAGGAATATTAAATACTCCAGATTAATAAAACGGGGCCAAGATCTACATACATATTGTACTGTAGGTCTTTGATAAGGAGCAGTTGCTTAACTTAAAGTGAAACATGAATGTATTTAGGAGAACTATTCTTTTCAGTTGAATTTAACGAAGTTCCACCACTGCAAGTTCCTGTCTTTATTTTAACCTGCCTGATTGTGCAGATAGGCTCATCTCATTGTCTAGAATACTGTCGTTTGTGTATGTAGTATTCGAGTGATGTCTTAAAAAGAGTAGATAAAATAATGTAACTCTCTAAACATTCATTACTAACGTTTCATTAAGAAAAGAATCAATGATAAATCAATTGGATACAGTCTAAACCTGACTCAAAATGTACACATTAACATCAGTATACTTTCTTTCAAATTTGCAGTTACACTCATGTAATCTACCAAGTGTAAGTGACATTCTTCTTTTAAGGTAATACTTCTTATTTTGTTTTCCTTATAAATGTAAAATCTCAAAAATGGAGGTCTTATTTAGTAGTACAACTTATTACAATGCTACTATAGTCTAACCATGTTTTATGATTTATTACAAATATCATGAAGTCAATCCATTGTGTGTAACTTAAAACAATTCTACTCTAGTTAAAACCGTACTTTATTTCAATTCTACTCCAGTTAAAATCGTACTTTATTACAATTCTACTCCAGTTCAAACCGTACTTTATTACAATTCTACTCCAGTTCAAACAGTACTTTATTATTTAAAACAATTCTACTCCAGTTAAAACCGTACTTTATTTCAATTCTACTCCAGTTCAAACCGTACTTTATTACAATTCTACTCCAGTTCAAACCGTACTTTATTACTGATAACAAGTCTACTCTAGTTCAAACCGTACTTTATTATTTATAACAATTCTACTCCAGTTCAAACCATACTTTATTACTGATAACAATTCTACTCCAGTTAAAACCGTACTTTATTACTGATAACAATTCTACTCCAGTTCAAACCGTACTTTATTACAATTCTACTCCAGTTCAAACCATACTTTATTACTGATAACAAGTCTACTCCAGTTAAAACCGTTCTTTATTACTGATAACAATTCTACTCCAGTTCAAACCATACTTTATTACTGATAACAAGTCTACTCCAGTTAAAACCGTTCTTTATTACTGATAACAATTCTACTCCAGTTCAAACCATACTTTATTACTGATAACAAGTCTACTCCAGTTAAAACCGTTCTTTATTACTGATAACAATTCTACTCCAGTTCAAACCATACTTTATTACTGATAACAAGTCTACTCCAGTTAAAACCGTTCTTTATTACTGATAACAATTCTACTCCAGTTCAAACCATACTTTATTACTGATAACAAGTCTACTCCAGTTAAAACCGTTCTTTATTACTGATAACAATTCTACTCCAGTTCAAACCATACTTTATTACTGATAACAAGTCTACTCCAGTTAAAACCGTTCTTTATTACTGATAACAATTCTACTCCAGTTCAAACCATACTTTATTACTGATAACAAGTCTACTCCAGTTAAAACCGTTCTTTATTACTGATAACAATTCTACTCCAGTTCAAACCATACTTTATTACTGATAACAAGTCTACTCCAGTTAAAACCGTTCTTTATTACTGATAACAATTCTACTCCAGTTCAAACCATACTTTATTACTGATAACAAGTCTACTCCAGTTAAAACCGTTCTTTATTACTTGTTACAATTCTACACACACTACTCCCTGGAATATTTCGTGTCAAATCAAAATGCTCTTTATGCCACAGCTTGCGGATGTATCAAATTGCACATAACCAATTGATAATCAATTATGATTGTTATTTTTTAAAGCTAATTTACATTTTCTTGTTAAAAAAAGTAACAGATTTTGAATTAATCAATCTTAAGTAGGTTGAAGCTTTGAATCTGTATATCAACAACTCTTTCTATTAGTTAATTACTGAACACACTGGTCACAAAGGAGTGATTATATAAGCCTTTAATTTCTAGTCGTGGAGTTGCAACTTGCCTCTAAATAAACCATATTAGTTAAAATTCATAAGAATTACACTAGATTTTTTTTTTAGATAAAACAAGCTTAAGCCTATTCATGCAGATGATGCCGTGTCATTCCTAACCTGACGTAACAATAAATCTTATTTCCCCCCATTTTGACATCAATTAATTAGTTATATTTTTTTACGACTAGTTTTCAATTATTGTTGAATCATAATATCATGTTCTAAGTTTTAACCACAGTTTATGACTTATTACCATTCTCCTGTAGTCGGACCATAGTTTATTTGCCACTTACATTACAATTCCACTTCGGTCATAGTGTATGACTTATTACATTTCTACTCTAATCAAACTGTAGTTTTTCGTATTATAATTATGCTCTAGTCAATCCACTGTGTATGAACTACAACAATTCTACTCTAGTTCCAATCATACTTTTTACTTCAGTTAGCATAGAATCAAGCGAAGAGATGACAGTGGCAGCTGGGATTTATCAGCAACTGTACTTCAATGCTTACAGGTGTAAACATATAGCTACAGATGTAAGATTTGGGCTGCTGATATACTCTAGTTGATGTCGTTGATGTCATATATGTATTCATGTTATGGCCGGCATAGTAAATTTCCTTCAGTAATCCGTTGATTTAGGGTCGCTATGATTTACTAAAGCTATTTACCGTATGTTGGGGTGGCTATGATTTACTGAAGCTATTTTCTGAATGTTGGGGTGGCTATGATTTACTGGAGCTATTAACCGTACATATGTATGTTGGGGTGGCTATGATTTACTGGAGCTATTAACCGTATGTTGGGGTGGCTATGATTTACTGAAGCTATTTACCGTATGTTGGGGTGGCTATGATTTACTGAAGCTATTTACCCTATGTTGGGGTCGCTATGATTTACTGAAGCTATTTACCGTATGTTGGGGTGGCTGTGATTTACTGGAGCTATTAACCGTATGTTATATCTTACACACCATAAATTGTTTAAATATTTCACAAATGAAATGTTCTCATTGCATCAATTTAAATCCAACAGATGTGAAGACAGAATTCCAATCAAATTTCAACTAACAGGTAAGTCTCATTTAATTTTTGAATTAATCAACAATGTCTAAATAATGCTCCGACAATTACTATGATTTTCTAATTTTGAAGTTAAATGTAACATGGCATAGTAAAGTAACATATATATTCTAAAGAACGTTCTCAATAATATTTCTTGTAAAACCATTATTCTTAATCTACGAAACTAGAGTCTGCTTTCCCTTTCATTAAGGGCAAAGATCTAAACAGGTTTTAAACTATCCTCTAAAATATGTCTTTGATATTCACCGGAGGATCAAAATGACTACCATTCATTCGGAGAGAATAGACTAGTATTATCAGTAAAAAAGGAGAAAAGGTTCAAACAATAAAACTATGAGTAAACTGTCAGGCGTTAATCGATCACAATAAAAAAAAATTTAAAAAAAAAGTTAAAACATAAAGTATGCCTTCTAGAGTCCGACTCGTTCATATTAAAATTTAATATACACTTACAAAATGAGAATAAGTGATTAATAATCTTATCAATGCAAAAAAAATATGCATCCAGGTTTGACTTCATTAAACTTAAGAATTTTAACAAATATAACGTCTTACACATATAAAGCTTTAGTCAACAAGCAATGAATTCTATAAAACTGTAATGGTTTAGTACCAAGTATACATATAGTATAAAACTGTAACGGTTTAGTACCGAGTATACATATAGTATAAAACTGTAACGGTTTAGTACCGAGTATACATATAGTATAAAACTGTAACGGTTTAGTACCCAGTATACATATAGTATAAAACTGTAACGGTTTAGTACCGAGTATAACTAGGGTATAAAACTGTAACGGTTTAGTACCGAGTATACATATAGTATAAAACTATGTCATGTTAATTAACTGTAAAGTGATCATTCTAATCAGACGCAGATATTATTTCCAAAAACTACAACCTCTTTCCCCCACAAAATCAAAACAAGAATATGCTTCCATATAGCAAATAATTAAAACCTTATTGAAATATAACACACAATATGAACATCAACGAGAAAAATAGTTTTTTTAATAATTTATAACTTTAGAGTATAAAAATATAGTTTGGTGAATTTAGCAACTTAAAGAATAGGCAAAAGTACCATGTAAGCACTCGTCGTTGTGAGCATATATATTTCTATTGGTAAATATGGAATTTTCATTGTGGAACATTGGTAAAACACAGATATTTCAAAAAGAACATTTTTTGAAGACAAAATTTTACTTTAATTGTTTATTGACATAGAGTCAAACTGGACAGTCCTGAGCGTGCAGACTTGAAATAAGTTTAAAGGTTGATTTTTCAACATGGTTTCTTGTTTCAAAACAATTATTTTTTCGTAAAATGTTAATCCTGAAATCAGATCACTTATATTTTTGTTTTCATTATGTGAGCTTGAATGCTTGTATATTTAAATGTAAATGTGAGGTAAACATGTTTATGACTTGAACACACTTCTGTTACAAAGTTTACTAGCATATATTTATATTGTATATATGTATACAATGTATTACAGTTTTCACACAAAAGAGACAGAAAATTGAACACAATCAACAGTTAATATGGACATAGCCATGGAAGAAAACACAAGCCAATAATATATTAATTATGTAGATTAAATAATTATATGGGGGACACCTGGTCCATTAAACTGTATAGCAGGTTATTTCTGTGGGTGATCCACAGAATAATATTACAAGCAGAAAAACAAGCTGCGATAATAAACTTCATGACCATAATGTTGTCATGGAATAGCAAGTATATGGTTGTAACAAATAACTAGATTATTTCACACATCTAATATTTTGGTGTGGATTTGTTTACAAAATATGCGTACATGTTATTGCTCAATATCCTATAATAAATTGACTATTTAACCCTTTATGTGCCAGATGTCCCGTTTCTGTGCTTAAACAATGTGAAAAATTCGTTTCTTCACCTGTCTTTATCGCGAAATTATAGCCTGACAGGTGTAAATTTAATTTTGGTCAAATTCACGAAAAAATTAAGCCGGTGACAATAACCTGTTAAACATTATTCTGTATTTACGTATTGCAGAGTTATCTTCTCTTGGGAGCAGGTATTGATTGTTACGTCACTTGTTTGTGAGAGTAACGTCATCAATTTTTGAGAAAACGACGTAATTTGTTCACACAAACCAATGACATAACAATCAATTCCTGCTCCCAAGAGAAGATAACTCTGCAATACGCAAAGACAGAATACCGGTACATTGACATTATATGATTTACAAGGCAGAAACCTATCACTGTACATGTATAGCGCTTTAAATTTCCAGGGTCAATTAATAATATTAAATTTTGCTGTGCACCCGAATCCCATGTGTCGTTTAGAGTATTTTGAGTGTCATCATGTAAGCGTTAAACCTCGAAATACAGGGAAACTGTATGAAAACTGTGATCTGCCAGTGACTTCACTCAAAATCAAACATGTCCCTTTGAAGGAGTAAACAGTTATCAATTAATCATCTATTGTGTACACATAAATACGTTGTGGCCACTTATACATTATGTAAGTGTTGTTTTCACATGGACTGCCCAGTTGTCCGGTGATAATCTGATTGGAGTTCATTTAGGCTTGCATAAAAGCGTTGGGTTATAAGTATTTTTCAACATGTTTTGATAAGGTCTGTAAAAGTGGTTAACGTTTTCGATTTATTCGCTGGTGTTTAGAATTCGCGGATATTAGTCAAAGCGTGAATATAGCGAAATTAAAACCCCTGCAAAATATAACTGCTATACAGTATACATCTGTACTGTGTAATTACGTAATTACAACGTTTATAACGTGGAAAATATATATATTACATATGGCTGCAACATCATAAGCATACATGTACATTTTTGTATACACATAAGGCTGTCGGAAAGATACCAAATGTCACAACATTAAGAAAATGTAAAGTGGAGATCAAAATTAGAGGTAAAACAGGTTGGAATATCTGGCCCTGATTTCTTTAAAATAGAAAATCATATTTACACTTTTATTTATTATAATTTTTTATCATTTATCATAGAATTCATTTCAAATATAAAGTATAAATGGATAGGTTATGTTTCTTCATTTCAATCCAAATTTAACTGTTGGTTACTGTCTTCAAATTGTCTATGATGATTATAAAATCGATCTTGATTAAAAAATGGCATCAAAATCTTTGTTTTTTCTTGATTTCTGAAAATATTTTGCCTGAAACTTTAATTTTATCAAAATTGAATTAAGTCCTTAAAACATGATTTACTCTAAAATGATAGATAATGAACATGCAACTGCTTTAAGAGCTAACTTTATGAAAACAGATATTGAGCTTACTTTTCATGTCAAGCTATCAGGGCCTGGTGAATAAACACTCTATCATTGACATTTATAGAGCTGGCAAAATTATGGAAGTTTCTTTATAAGTGAGTGGAACACATACACTCAATAAATTATAAACGAATGTGTAGCAAGTAAGAATGAGCTGTGATCTCATCATTCACATCCGTATTTCGGCAATTGGATTTGACTGTTTTTTTTCTTTCTATTTCTAAAATTACAACACAAAGAAAATTGTCTAGAGCACTGACCAACAATAGCGCCATGGAATTGTGCGGAAGAATAGGAGGTCAGTTTAGATAACCAACCTTGGCAGACTGCACACAACACAAGCCTGTATGGTTTTTTACAATGATTAAAGTGATTTTTGTTCGAAGCCATGGCCCTTAAATAAAAAAAAAAACTTTTTTTCAAAACACATAGTCTTATCCTTTATCCTTAACTACCCAGGGGGCTGCCAGCGGTGGCCAAGTGTTTAAGGCGTCCGACATTCTGCTACCACTAGCCCTCCACCACTGGGTCGCAGACTCGAGGCCTACGTGGGGCAGTCGCCAGTAAAAGCGCAGGTCGGTGGTTTTTCTCCGGCTTTCCTCCACCACCAAGACCTGTATAAGTACTAAATTTTCTTCAAGTGTAGGTCATTGAAGACCACGAAAACATCGAAAATGAAATCATTTAATATGTTTTCTAAACTGTTACCCTTCACAATAAAAACTGCATATACAGAGATTTAAAGGATTGTTTAAACTCAGCAATCCGACACCCGAGTTTTGGTGTCCTATTGATATACTTTAGTACCATCATTCAAGTATGGTATCACAATTTATAATGTGTTTACAGAGGCAGTTTTAGAAATACAAGATGTTACAAATCTTAGAAAAATACATTGTAGAAAATCACAGTTACCTCCCTTACTTAGCTATTCATCAGTTAGCTATATTAAAAATAAGCTATTGAAATTATTTGATTAAGACATTAATTTATATTTATCACTGTTTATTATACTGATATTTCCAATCACATTTCTTTTGCCTTTTTTCCTTTTTTGTGTGTGTGTGTGTGTGTGTGTGTGTGTGAGATGAATAAGAAAGCCTATTTTTCACTCATCTTTGACTGTTTGCCATCATAACATCCTCCCTCCCCCCATCTCAACTATAGAACAACCTTCTTTTATCAAGGGCCCCCCCCCCATCAAGGTGGCTTGCAGTCACCTGTCCAACCTGCAGCTGGGGTATTTTCCCCTCAAATGAAAAAAGGGTAGTAGTAGCCTTGCAACCCCCAACTCTCTCTACCACAAAGTACATCCTTCATGTCAGACGTGCCGTGCCCTCCTACTGCCAGTCCAGTAGGCAGTGCCCCTTTATCGCCGGTACATCCTTGCTATGTCAGCTTTGTAATGGTTCTCCATTGCTTTTCGCTTCAATTTGAAGGAGTCCGTGACGAGCCCAGAGTCAGGCATCCAAGGTTCTGGGACCAATGTGATGGCCTGTGGTAGACAGTACTTCTCAACACCGGCTGGAAATAAAGAAAGGAGACATAATTTACTGATATAAATAACATCCTTCTCTGGTTATAAACTATTGACAGACTTTCCCACACTCAAACTGTGTGAATCTGTGCACATAGGATTCTTACAAAAGTCAACACTTCTTTTTCATAATTTCCGTAATTTTGATATTAAATCCAAAAATTCCTGTCAATACATGTTTAAAGTATATGGTTTACTGTTTATTTGTTCATTCTCTCTATATATATATCATCATTCTAACTATTGTCAACATTCTTTCACACAGACACGACTAATGAGAAATGAGCTTTGAAAACAAAATCTGTGAACATCTGACTGATCTATCAACAATGCGAGACTACAATCAGACTCTATCCTGTCACTAAACATTGAGTAATTGTTGTAAAATTATACAATTTAATAGGCAGTCTATAGAGTGGGTCTCTCTAGCTTAATAACTTCACTGCGCAAACTTTGAAAACAGGATGTCAGAATATAAAAAGTTCCAATTTTTTCCAATAATTCGTTTTCAATATCAACAAAAACAAATCCATTTACCTTTTACACCATACTCATTCAACTTCTTCAGGAACTCCTTCGAGAGTTTTTCATTCCGGCACAATTTATCAACATCCTCTTCCTCAATTTTCATTTCTTTTGCTAAACATTTCAGATTCTTTTGATTGGGTACAACCAGGCTTACAGTACAACTATGGCGGCTGTCACCTACTACACAGATCTGTTCTACTAGCGGAGACATCTTGAGGCTCGTCTCCACCTGACTCAAAGCTACATATTCTCCAGCTTGTAGTTTTACCAGATCTTTCTTCCTGTCTGAAATATTGTAGAAAAAGTCTTAAAATGTCAGCTGTTTGTCAAGTGAGTGCAATGGTTTTCAATATAAACAATGTCTATCAGATGGTATTGTAAAGCCTTGGCTAGCTGTGAGCGCCGAAATGGCAGCTCTGGCTGTATGCTCCCCAGGGAGTTGAATAAGAAATTGGCTAGTTGCAATGGCCCTATAACCACGGATAATAATTTGTGAACAGCTTTGAGACGACATACAAACAACTTGTGATAAAGCGGTATATAAGAACCAAGAATTATTATTATTATAATTATAAAGAGTTTATTTGTAAAGGGGAAAAAGAGAAATGCACACCAGGATTTGAACCAGGGACCCTCCGATAGCGAACTCTAGACGGACTCTCTAACCAGTTCAGCTACCTGGTCGCCAGCAAACAACCAATTCAGCTACCTGGTCGCCGTTAACCAACCAATTCAGCTACCTGGCCGCGAGCAAACACCCAGTTCAGCTCCCTGGTCGCCGGCAACCACCCAGTCAAGCTACCTGGTCCCCGGCAAACAACCAGTGCAGCTACCTGGTCGACGGCAAACAACCAATACAGCTACCCGGTCGCCAGTAACCAACCAGTTCAGCTCCCTGGTCGCCGGCAACCACCCAGTTCAGCTACCTGGTCGCCGGCAAACAACCAGTTCAGCTACCTGGTCGCCAGTAAACAACCAGTTCAGCTACCTGGTCGCCAGCAAACAACCAGTTCAGCTACCTGGTCGCCGGCAAACAACCAGTTCAGCTACCTGGTCCCGGCAAACAACCAATTCAGCTACCTGGTCGCCGGTAAACAACCAATTCAGCTACCTGGTCGCCAGTAAACAACCAATCCAGCTACCTGGTCGACGGCAAACGGCAAACAACCAGTTCCGCTACATATGGAACATTTGTAATACATGTATCACATTTTCATGGCGACGTTTTAATAAAAAGAACAAACATGACATATCAAGCCTTGTTACTCAATCTACGACCACGATTTTGGTCACAGACTTTTCTTTATCTTCTTATAAGAGCATTGGTCCACAAGACGATTCACCATTCACCCAAAGTCAGCAGGACAAAAATAAATATTTTTGTGAAATTATTTATTTATCATGTCATGAGAAGTCAATGCAGACTTGAATGGAGCTTGCTAAAACAAAGTGTGTGAGATAACATTCAGAAGTTGCTTCTCTCCTTTGTTATTTTCTGTGCTTATTTATCATAAGAGGGCTGCTGTTTACCACCACATGTAGATATCCTCCTGAAATCTAGATGATCATGAAGGACTGTGATCTGAATATAGAGGCAAATGTATATGCCTGCGTTCAGAATAATCTAGATGATCAATATGAACATACCGGGGGTACTTCAATACATATGGACATTGGTTCTTTCCCCGGCATCAATTCCAGTTTGTGAAAAGAAGAGATACATCCAGACACAGAGATACAGAAGAAAAAGAGACCGATACAGCAGGAGGGTGACAGGGACATAAAGATGTAGGGTGAAGGTCATTGTGACCTCATTAATATGCAATAAAAACCTGATACTGGTAATACTTCTGTTTTTTACCAAAATATCTTCAACGGTTTATAACTCATGGCACACACAAAATGCTTTTTGATTGAAGTAGAACAAGCATTAGTAATTAAGACCTAATAAAAAACAGTGAAGAACTCTCACAGACATAAACCATCCTGGACCTATATCGGAGAAAACCAGTGTTAACTAAACACACTTGGTATTTACCTATGATTCTGAGACATCCATCTTCCTCAAACTGACCAATATCTCCGGTACAGAAATAGCGGATACCCTCTATCTCTGTAAAGTCCTCCAGAGTCTTTTCTTCCATCTTATGGTACCCCTGTACAATATTGCCCCCACCCATTAAGATCTCGCCCCGGGGGTGGGGCTTGTCCTGGTCTGTGTACTTTCCTGTAACATGAGTGAAGGTCACAAGATTAAGCAAAGTAAACACTAACTATTGATTTGGACATTTATCTCAAAGATACTTTACTTGCATGATCACTCTAAACTTCAATACAATGATGTATATAATAATAATAATAATAATAATAATAATAATAGTATACAACATTTGATATAGCACCCTGTCTAGCTAACATAAGCCACTCTAAAGCGCCTAACAGTACATAGATATACAATTAATACAATTAGCATATACATATACATTAATCAATACAGTTTTTGAGGAATTCACAGGAGCCTCCTTATCATGAATAACTACTGGTCCTATGCCACCTGGCTAATATCTACCTATGTGTGTATGCCTGCGTGTGTGCTGGAGATGTGATGTGTTCTGTTTGTAGTGGGACCGTGCTTCCAACATCATCATTTATAGTGCCACCTCACTTGAATGCTACAGCACAGATATTGTAACATCCACCCCAGACCAATTTATACTCCACCTGGGTTGTTGCTCGACCAATCCGCCCATATTCTTTTGTTTTAATTTTACAATGTGAAACAATATTATGAAGCATGATGTCACAATACTTTAACATTCCATCTTATATAAACCCTTTGTGTTGGTATTGAGAAACAGAGAAAGTAGTGGTTTTTTTATACATGAATTACAAGAAAACTTATAATATTTCAAAGTAAAGGCAGATGGCTATTGAAATTTTGGAACTAACAGTACATAGACGTTGGGTCTCACTTACTTTTTAATAGCATCTTAATTTACTAATTTGTGACAAACTATTCTGATTGTATCCAACCTCATTAATTATCCGTCATAATCGACTCACAACCGCTCATCGATTATACTAGCCATTAGCCATCATATAGAATATATTTCATCTGCTGGATAACTATACTACTCTGTCGTGAACTTGACCTAAAACCACTAAACAAACAAAACAGGATGTATTGAGTGATACTCGTGATAGCATTAGCTATCTATATCTACATTTCCTCTACAAGGTCTTTTATGAGCATCACCAGAAGAAATATCATTCATACAGCTATGAACGCAATTCAATCAGCATCATTTTGAAGCTTCTCCTTCCACCTCGAATAACATGTGACAATCTGTTAGAAGCAAACATTTTGGTGCATTTGGCTGTTCCAGGAATATCGTTTACACTGACACTTCAATATTGAAAATATAAGAGAATATTTATATTCAGGTCAATGATAACTAAACATTTAGAATGTAAATATAACGATTGAATGGCATGCCGGTGTCATGCATAAAATGTACCTCCTGCTTAAATAGTATCCGNTTGGTTATACACATATTTATGTATATACATGGAGTATGTATGTATAATCAATTTGCATTCATACCAACATGAAATTGAAAATAAATATGTCGTTCAATCTTTATATGATGGTAAGAGCTGGATGGGGATTCGCGGTGGCCAAGTGGTTCATGCATCCGACATTCTGCTACCTCACTAGCCCTCCACCACTGGGTCGCAGGTTCCAAGCCTACGTGGGGCAGTCCCCAGGTACTGGCCATAGTATAGGTAGGTGGTTTTTCTATGGGAACTTGGGCTTTCCTCGCCAATCAAAACCTGGCACTTTCTTAAATGACCCTAGCTGTTATAGTATAGGTAGGTGGTTTTTCTATGGGAACTTGGGCTTTCCTCGACAATCAAAACCTGGCACGTTCTTAAATGACCCTAGCTGTTATAGTATAGGTAGGTGGTTTTTCTATGGGAACTTGGGCTTTCCTCGACAATCAAAACCTGGCACGTTCTTAAATGACCCTAGCTGTTATAGTATAGGTAGGTGGTTTTTCTATGGGAACTTGGGCTTTCCTCGACAATCAAAACCTGGCACGTTCTTAAATGACCCTAGCTGTTATAGTATAGGTAGGTGGTTTTTCTATGGGAACTTGGGCTTTCCTCGACAATCAAAACCTGGCACTTTCTTAAATGACCCTAGCTGTTAATAGGACATAAAACACAAACAGACCAAACTTTATATGATGGTAAGAGCTTGATGTGAATTCAATGTACAAACCTTCGGGCCAGTCCCGTAGTCTCACTTCACCACAGAACAGGGGTGCACCCACCTTCCCTGTACTTAAGTCTCCCACTGTAACAGTTAACATTTAATCAACAAAAGTAATGCAGGGCGGAACAAGTTATGCCCCTACCATGTCAATCTGACCTTCTTAAAATCCTTCTGATGAAAATATGGAAATGTCGAGAAGAACAGCATTTGTACTGTGTACTACAACTCATTGAAGTTGAGAACTAATTCAGAAATAATGTGTCATACTGTACTTGACCAACTTAAACTGAAGTAATATTTATATTTCATATATCCTTTATGACCTATAAAAAAATATTTTCAAAGGAATTGTCTCCCTTGTATAAATTTCAAACAGGTCAATTTATATCAAACATCAACAGGTCAACAACACATGTACAGTGGGCATTATCTCCAGTTTGGGAAAACATTCGCCACCTAGGACTAGTTTGATATGTATACAATGTCAACAAAGATAATATATAACGGAAAAAGATATTGGATGACATGTTAAACTCATTCACCCCTGAACACACATTTGAACTCTTCCAATTCAAAGGTTGGAATAGTTCATTATGAAATTTCAGGGGTGAATGAGTTAAGTAGCTGTTTATAGGACTCCGAACTGCTAATTTATAATAGATTGTACATAAATGTACCAGAAAGTCCTACCTTCTGTAATGGTCCCGGCACCACAAGTCTCAGTTAGGCCGTATCCCTGTAGTACAGGGCAACAGAAACAGACATTCATGAATCGCTGTGTCTGTTCTGACAGAGGAGCTCCACCACTCAGCATCATACGGATGTTCCCACCCAACAGCTCTCGTATCTTCTGGAAAATTAGTCTGGAAAAAGAGATCATAACAAAATCTTATAATCACCATTAGACCAAGATGTACAAGACCTTATTGGGAATATCAGTCTAAAACAAAGATTACAATAAGTACAAAGCCTGAATGCTAAAGATTTTTCAATGTCACCATTCTATAAGATTGGAGGAACGTCAAAAATCCTTGTTAAGTTCAAAAATATTTTCTGAAAATTAAGTGAAGTAGTATTACCGGTAATCTGGAACCTAATATCTGAATTTCTGGGCAGGACTAATGATCATCTTTTTAATATCAATCATTCTTTATACTGTCTTCTATTTTGGAAACCAACTTCTACCTGTGTTCATTAACATGTTTACAAAAAGAGGCTCAGAGGGCCTGTATCGCTCACCTGGCTACCTAAGCGATCATGGCAAAACATTCTCCATATAAGATCCCAGGGAGAGGGCCAGACCTCAAGGCCAATCCTTGTAGCATATCTGTATTACATTTTTCATTAATTCTAATATCATGACTGCGTTCATCTCTTTATGCCCAGCAATTGCATATTTAGTTTTGGGATGGGGATTTCAACAGTTTCAAAGTTATGACTCAGGGACTAAGTCTCAAAAGGTTGAGCCAGACCCCCGGGCCATCCAGGAAGCATATGTACATTCATCTCTTTCTACTCAGCAATTGTATATATGGTTATAGGGTGGGGATCTAAACCATTTCCAAGTACAGTAAAACCCCACTTATTCGAACTCGCATAACTAAAATACCCGCTACTCCTCGAAAAGTTTGCTTGGTCCCGACCAGTATATACATTGTACCAATATATTCTTTGTAAATTAACCTCAGATTACTTGAACAGCCGTTGCTTGAATACCCTGTATTCCTCGAACTCTAATTTATCCCCGACCACTCAAATCCTTAGTATTTTACCTTAAACCTTAGTATTTTACCTAAAACCTTAGTATTTTACCTAAATCCTTAGTATTTTACCTAAAACCTTAGTATTTTACCTAAATCCTTAGTATTTTACCTAAAACCTTAGAATTTTACCTAAATCCTTAGTATTTTACCTAAATCCTTATATTTTTACCTAAAACCTTAGTATTTTACCTAAATCCTTAGTATTTTACCTTAAACCTTAGTATTTTACCTATCCATTTGTCGAACAGGTAGACACACCTGGGTGTATAGCCGCCTTCATTGACATGCCTCGAGGCACAGGCTGCAGTCCACGCTCATAGTACTAATAGAGATGTCGGCCGAACATCAGATTATTAGAGGATTATATAATTAACGGCAGTGTCATTAAGTAACTGTACCGTTACCCTGTTGTAGTTATTATCATTTTGTGTGCACATTTATTATTTCCAGACGATGTTTTGACATCGATGTCTTGGCAGAAGTGTAAATTTTACAGTGTGTGTAAAACCATATTTTGGCATAACAGTATTAAGCGGAAACCACAAAGCAGATTCTCAACCATCTTTAAAGACGTTTAAACTTGAAAACGTCATGATTGTTAATTTTGTTATCAATCAACATTTTGATATAATAGGCATTCCAGATTTTCTACATTATTAAAATTTTAATAAAGATTTCCGCTTGTTTTGATAGTTTGTAAAGTTAACGTAGCCGATTATATATATAATTACACTATGGCAGATTACATCAAAACCAGTACATGTACGTTAAACATGCAGATTATTTTAAAAAAAATCCTTTCTTTATAACCATGACCATACATTTCATTGTCCAGCTATTTTATATCTCATTAAATGTTGTCATCTGTATTAAACTTTTTACTTCCGCATAGTTCTAGAGAAGTCGTTTATAATAACATAGCCAAACTGCCCCCTTTGGCCCCACCCCTCAGTACCCTAGGGGGTCAGCCCAACCACTTTAGTGAAATTCCAATCAGTGGTTAAAAAGAAGAAGTTGTTTGAAGAAATTGTTGACGTACAGACGACGGATGACGGATGCCACGGTATGGCATGAGCTCACCTTAATTGGTCCTTCGGACCCGATGAGCTAATAAATTAATTTGAAAACAATTGTCTATATACAGATGTTTCTTCTAATGAGGCAAATAAATCAACATACCCTGATTCCAACATACATACATACATAACACACATGAAGGCACATTCTTAAATGACCGTAACTGTTTAAGGATGTTAAACATGTTAACTCATTCAACCCTTAACACACATTTGAACTCTTCCAATTCAAAGTTTGGAAGAGTTCATTATAAAATTTTAGGGGTGAATGAAATAAACAAACTAAAACCAGACCAAACTAATGACTTACTTATTCAAAATAGGTGTGTCGTATCCTCGTAGAAGATTGTTGAGCTTGTATTCGTAGGCAAACTTAAACACAGCCTTAAATACAGGTCCCCGGGATTGGACTTTTTCCTCCACACCTTTGTACAGACGGTCCATTATAACCTACAGCCAAGGTTTAAATAATCTTATACTTAAGCCGTTTTAATTTGTGATGTTACAATCAAGTTAGGCAGAATTTACATATTACAAAATCAACGAAGTAGTGTATATATCAGCAAAACTCTCCATGATTGGTGGGCTGGATTAGGTTACAAGTATCATCAACTGGTTACCAGTATCATCACCTGGTTACTAGTATCATCAACTGGTTACAAGTGTCATCAACTGGTTACAAGTGTCATCAACTGGTTACAAGTATCATCAACTGGTTACTAGTATCGACAACTGGTTACAAGTATCATCAACTGGTTACCAGTATCATCAACTGGTTACAAGTATCATCAACTGGTTACAAGTGTCATCAACTGGTTACAAGTGTCATCAACTGGTTACAAGTATCATCAACTGGTTACTAGTATCGACAACTGGTTACAAGTATCATCAACTGGTTACCAGTATCATCAACTGGTTACAAGTATCATCAACTGGTTACAAGTGTCATCAACTGGTTACAAGTGTCATCAACTGGTTACAAGTGTCATCAACTGGTTACAAGTATCATCAACTGGTTACTAGTATCATCAACTGGTTACAAGTGTCATCAACTGGTTACAAGTGTCATCAACTGGTTACCAGTATCAACAACTGGTTACCAGTATCAATAACTGGTTACAAGTATCATCAACTGGTTACAAGTGTCATCAACTGGTTACAAGTATCATCAACTGGTTACCAGTATCATCAACTGGTTACCAGTGTTATCAACTGGTTACAAGTGTAATCAACTGGTTACCAGTATCATCAACTGGTTACCAGTGTCATCAACTGGTTACCAGTGTCATCAACTGGTTACCGGTATCATCAACTGGTTACAAGTGTCATCTACTGGTTACAAGTATCATCAACTGGTTACAAGTATCATCTACTGGTTACAAGTGTCATCTACTGGTTACAAGTGTCATTAACTGGTTACAAGTATCATCAACTGGTTACTAGTATCATAAAGTAGCTTCAAGTATCACCAACTGGTTACTAGTAGCATCTACTGGTTACCAGTATCATCAACTGGTTACTAGTATCGACAACTGGTTACAAGTATCATCTACTGGTTACCAGTACAATCAACTGGTTACCAGTATCATCAACTGGTTACTAGTATCGACAACTAGTTACAGGTATCATCAACTGGTTACCAGTATCATCAACTGGTTACTAGTATCATCAACTGGTTACCAGTATCGACAACTGGTTACCAGTATCGACAACTGGTTACCAGTATCGACAACTGGTTACAAGTATCATCAACTGGTTACAAGTATCATCAACTGGTTACAAGTATCATCAACTGGTTACAAGTATCATCAACTGGTTACAAGTGTCATCAACTGGTAATTAGTATCATAAACTAGCTTCAAGTATCATCAACTGGTTACAAGTATAATCAACTGGTAACAAGTATTTCTAACTGCACTTTTTCATTTATGACATACAAAAACATTTTTGTGGTAATTTTTGTGGTAATTATTTTTTCCAATCTTTACAACATCTACAAGCACCACTCTTCTTTTTATAATTCTATTCAAGTAGCATCAATAAAGATATTTTCACAGAAGCACTAATGTAACACTTGTACACTGTGTAGTAGAGTAACTATCAACAGGACAAGGTGACTTACAGGCACGGCAGCCATTAGTGAGGGTTTCAGGATGGACAAGTCACCTTTACTTCCTTTCTTGATCTTACTGGACTGTGAATAAAAACAACCAAGAATGTAACGGACAATACTGGGTGATAATATCAGGAATGTAACAGACAATACAGGGTGATAATATCAGGAATTTAACAGACAATACAGGGTGNGGGAATGTAACAGACAATACAGGGTGATAGTATCAGGAATGTAACAGATAATACAGGGTGATAATATCAGGAATGTAACAGACAATACAGGGTGATAGTATCAGGAATGTAACAGACAATACAGGGTGAGAATCATCATCATGTTTATCGTACTAGACTGGGAGTAAACCAATCATGGATGTAATAGATAATACAGGGTGAGGTTCACCAACACTGCTATTTTCTTGTATAATTTAAATTACTTTATTTTCAAGAAAGATCCATTCTCAATGAAACCAATTGTAAATTAAAACTTATGTGACCATCAATTCCATGGATACTTACTAGCAGTAATGAAATAACACACTCAGAATTGAAAATTAAAGTACATGTATTCGTAAATAAATTCTACAAGCATAATTTGCAAAATACAGTACACACAAAAATATAGTGATAGAGTAAAGGCTGGGTGCTTGTTAATAATATATAGCATTACCTATTACAGAAATGGTAAAACCTGGTTAAGTAAATTATGGATGAGTTAAATAATTCTATCTGAAGTAGCTATATAGGTTGTCTGGTCCCAACCATTTTCCAATATAAATGTAAGTAACTTGGCCCACAAGTGTCTAACACTAATGACTGGAAAAGTGCAGTCCTGACCCAATTTCATCATAATTTCTTCTCAAACTGCTAGTTCAAACCCACCTGGTCTGTCAATGTAAGTGGTGAGGAATAGCCAATACAGGAACCACATGCCACACAGGACAACTCTGCCAAAACAAAATACATCAACATTAACAGCAGCCCTATCATAATACATCAACATTAACAGCAGCCCTATCATAATATATCAACATTAACAGCAGCCCTATCATAATATAACAATCAGTAGAATGTCAACATAACAGTGAAGTTCAGTTTTTCTATTAAAAGTAAGTGTTGAAATTACACATGGGAAATTAATTAAAAAAACAAAGTTCATGTGCATCTTTCACCAGATTTTCTTGTTTACAATGGTATGCTAACATAATTATATTGAAAACGATACACTAGATATTGATCTATACCGTAACTGAAAAGTTATTTGATCAAAAGGTCATCTTTACATATCCCAGATTAGGACATAAGCCAATGGGAGATAAGTAAATGTATATTTTGTGAAAAGTTCATACCTGCAGTCAGAACTAAGTTTAAACTTATTTTATTGTGTAAAGGTACAAATGGATTGGATTGAACTAAGCCATGGACCAAAGGGAGATAACTAAAATATATTTTGTGACAAGTTCAAGCTCACAGTCAGAACCGAGACATTGGCCAAGGAGAGATAAGTAAAAACGGTAATTCACTGTGACAACGACATACCTGCACTCAGCTCGAGTACATGGGCCAAGGGGAGATAACCCACATAGGTATCACCGGGGCTGAAATAAGAAATCAAATATGTGCATGTACGTGGTAAGACTACATCAATTACACAAATAATTGAATATCTATATCAAATAAAAAAGGGACATGTGCTGGTTTTATCCACAACAAGGTTGTAGAGTCGTCAAGTATGCAAGCAGAGCACTAAAAGCAAAGTATATTGTTGTCTTTATCCAATCACACCATTAAACTTTAAACAGTCAATTTATTTCAAACATTCAAAGGAACGATCATTCAATATGCATGTATTTGAATATCATATACACTATTTGAAGTGGGTTTTTTTTTACAATTATATCAAATTACCGGTAGACAAAGCAATTTTTTTTTTCGTAATTTTTCGTGAATCTGTTTATGATTTGATGGGTGTACCTGTAGTATTGCTATGATAATTGCCCTACCTGAGTCCAGCTATCTTTTGCACCTGTCCTGCCATTCCACACATGAGGTTGCCATGGCTAATCAACACACCTGCAGAAAAATAGTGTACATATGGATTTGCTTTGGCAAAATCAATTAATCTCATTATTAATATTTAAATCATATCTAGCCAAAGTTCTCAAAACAAAGAAAACGAAAATTTGCCAAAATAGGTGATCTCGTTTAAAATAAAATAAAAATGTTAATATTCAATTGAACTACAAAGTTTGTTTAAAATTAGATTCCAAAAGTTATGTATAAAATTATGTTAATTACATCCTGGGGAAGAGGTGGTATTTCTTCCATTATTAATGTAAAATGTAATAGGTCAATACACCTAAACTTATGATACAGGACTTGTTAAAACCTAGCTATGGGAGGAAATAATATCTAACGATTGAAAAAGATATTACTTTGCATCTATGTGAAACATTATAGGAACTGAGCGGTATTTGTTACTTGTTAGGAGCAATGTGGGACAGCTGATGTAATCTGACCTGTAAGCTAGTTTTTAGGACACTTATAAACCTGCTCATTGTCATTAACTAGCTAGTGTTACTTGTTAGGAGCAATGTGGGACAGCTGATGTAATCTGACCTGTTGGCTAGTTTTTAGGACACTTATGAACCTGCTCATTGTCATTAACTAGCTAGTGTTACTTGTTAGGAGCAATGTGGGACAGCTGATGTAATCTGACCTGTTGGCTAGTTTTTAGGACACTTATGAACCTGCTCATTGTCATTAACTAGCTAGTGTTACTTGTTAGGAGCAATGTGGGACAGCTGATGTAATCTGACCTGTTGGCTAGTTTTTAGGACACTTATGAACCTGCTCATTGTCATTAACTAGCTAGTGTTACTTGTTAGGAGCAATGTGGGACAGCTGATGTAATCTGACCTGTTGGCTAGTTTTTAGGACACTTATGAACCTGCTCATTGTCATTAACTAGCTAGTGTTACTTGTTAGGAGCAATGTGGGACAGCTGATGTAATCTGACCTGTTGGCTAGTTTTTAGGACACTTATGAACCTGCTCATTGTCATTAACTAGCTAGTGTTACTTGTTAGGAGCAATGTGGGACAGCTGATGTAATCTGACCTGTTGGCTAGTTTTTAGGACACTTATGAACCTGCTCATTGTCATTAACTAGCTAGTGTTACTTGTTAGGAGCAATGTGGGACAGCTGATGTAATCTGACCTGTTGGCTAGTTTTTAGGACACTTATGAACCTGCTCATTGTCATTAACTAGCTAGTGTTACTTGTTAGGAGCAATGTGGGACAGCTGATGTAATCTGACCTGTTGGCTAGTTTTTAGGACACTTATGAACCTGCTCATTGTCATTAACTAGCTAGTGTTACTTGTTAGGAGCAATGTGGGACAGCTGATGTAATCTGACCTGTTGGCTAGTTTTTAGGACACTTATGAACCTGCTCATTGTCATTAACTAGCTAGTGTTACTTGTTAGGAGCAATGTGGGACAGCTGATGTAATCTGACCTGTTGGCTAGTTTTTAGGACACTTATGAACCTGCTCATTGTCATTAACTAGCTAGTGTTACTTGTTAGGAGCAATGTGGGACAGCTGATGTAATCTGACCTGTTGGCTAGTTTTTAGGACACTTATGAACCTGCTCATTGTCATTAACTAGCTAGTGTTACTTGTTAGGAGCAATGTGGGACAGCTGATGTAATCTGACCTGTTGGCTAGTTTTTAGGACACTTATGAACCTGCTCATTGTCATTAACTAGCTAGTGTTACTTGTTAGGAGCAATGTGGGACAGCTGATGTAATCTGACCTGTTGGCTAGTTTTTAGGACACTTATGAACCTGCTCATTGTCATTAACTAGCTAGTGTTACTTGTTAGGAGCAATGTGGGACAGCTGATGTAATCTGACCTGTTGGCTAGTTTTTAGGACACTTATGAACCTGCTCATTGTCATTAACTAGCTAGTGTTACTTGTTAGGAGCAATGTGGGACAGCTGATGTAATCTGACCTGTTGGCTAGTTTTTAGGACACTTATGAACCTGCTCATTGTCATTAACTAGCTAGTGTTACTTGTTAGGAGCAATGTGGGACAGCTGATGTAATCTGACCTGTTGGCTAGTTTTTAGGACACTTATAAACCTGCTCATTGTCATTAACTAGCTAGTGTTACTTGACCTTTTTTTTACTTACCTTATAGCTGCAGTTGTATAACAGCCGATGGACTGAATTGCTTATGTAACTTGATATATGGGTGTTCACAACTGGATTCCTGTAGATTACACTTTTACCTTATAGATACCTTAAAGGTAATCTTACCTGTCTTTTTTTTTACATTCAGGAATCTGTGTTGACCACGACAAAGGACAATTAACTTGTCTTTCACCTTTTGGGACTCCTGTGGACCCGCTTGTGTACAACTTGTCTTTTACCTTTTGGGACTCCTGTGGACCCACTTGTGTACAACTTGTCTTTTACCTTTTGGGACTCCTGTGGACCCGCTTGCGTATAACTTCTCTTTTACCTTTTGGGACTCCTGTGGACCCGCTTGTGTACAACTTGTCTTTTACCTTTTGGGACTCCTGTGGACCCACTTGTGTACATGATCACTGCAATGTCTTCTCGTTTTGGTTGAGTCACTGGTGTCTGGACTGCAAAGTAATAGACATACAATGCCATCTGATTTTAATAATACTGACAAATGTTCGCTGCTTTTATATAACATATACCACACTACATCTGTGTAAGTCATCAGCTCCCTAGGAAAGACAAGTACTATATAGTCACTACACAGGATGTCTAGTATCACTAGGGTGACGATAAAATGATTCAGAGCAAAGTTACAGACAAAATTTAACGGCCTACATAGAACCTCCCTCTCTCTCTCTCTACAATTTCATGGCCATTACAATATTAAGAGCAATTTCATAGGCATTAAGCATGCCACATTTTAAAGGGAATTTTAATGCTATTTTAATGCGATATTTAATGAAATTTAAATAAGAATTTAATGAAAACACTTTTTAATCCAGTTTTAATGACCATGCATGCAGTAGAGTAAGTCTGCCCTATGAACTCCTCCTACCTCCTCCCCCCAAATACCCCTAACCCATCCCAGCCCTTTCTGTCTGTTGACCCCGAAGTAAAACTCACTGTTTTCTGGCATGGCTCCCATAGTCTCTACCTCAGCCATTGATAGCACCTTCACATGGCTAGGGAAGTCACTGATCTGTGGGGTGCGGTTACCACCAATGTAAATTAGATGACTAAGCTTCGGCATTTTGTGGATGATACCCTGGGAATGACAACAATTTCAAATGAATGGTGCTACATTATAATAAAAGCATTAATTAAATCACACTCTAGAAAATTATAGTTGAAACTTACGGCGCTGTCCCACCGTAACCTATAGCACCAGAGTATGACACTTTTTTCGAACACACTGGCATGTACCCTAGTGTACACTGATATTCAGTTCAGGGTACATTATGCATAAGTTATATAGGGTAACAGCACAGTGTCACACGCTGGCCTGTACCCTAGTGTACACTGATATTCAGTTCAGGGGACGTTATGCATAAGTTATATAGGGTAACAGCACGTTCTCACACGCTGGCATGTACCCTAGTGTACACTGATATTCAGGTCAGGGTTCGTTATGCATAAGTTATATAGGGTAACAGCACAGTGGCACACGCTGGCATGTACGCTAGTGTACACTGATATTCAGTTCAGGGTACGTTCTGCATAAGTTATATAGGGTAACAGCACAGTGTCACACGCTGGCCTGTACCCTAGTGTACACTGATATTCAGTTCAGGGGACGTTATGCATAAGTTATATAGGGTAACAGCACATTGTAACACGCTGGCATGTACGCTAGTGTACACTGATATTCAGTTCAGGGTACGTTATGCTTAAGTTATATAGGGTAACAGCACAGTGTCACACGCTGACATGTACCCTAGTGTACACTGATATTCAGTTCAGGGGACGTTATGCATAAGTTATATAGGGTAACAGCACAGGGTCACACGCTGGCATGTACCCTAGTGTACACTGATATTCAGTTCAGGGTACGTTGTGCATAAGTTATATAGGGTAACAGCACAGTGTCACACGCTGACATGTACCCTAGTGTACACTGATATTCAGTTCAGGGTACATTATGCATAAGTTATCTAGGGTAACAGCACAGTGTCACACGCTGGCATGTACGCTAGTGTACACTGATATTCAGTTCAGGGTACGTTATGCATAAGTTATATAGGTTAACAGCACAGTGTCACACGCTGGCATGTACCCTAGCGTACACTGATATTCAGTTCAGGGTACGTTATGCTTAAGTTATATAGGGTAACAGCACAGTGTCACACGCTGACATGTACCCTAGTGTACACTGATATTCAGTTCAGGGGACGTTATGCATAAGTTATATAGGGTAACAGCACATTGTAACACGCTGGCATGTACGCTAGTGTACACTGATATTCAGTTCAGGGTACGTTCTGCATAAGTTATATAGGGTAACAGCACAGTGTCACAAGCTGGCATGTACGCTAGTGTACACTGATATTCAGTTCAGGGTACGCTATGCATAAGTTATATAGGGTAACAGCACAGTGTCACACGCTGGCATGCGTAAAGTCCCAAAAGTTTGTTGTGCATGCACAACATTTTTCAACATATGGAATGTATGCTTCATACGTTACTCATACATTATGGATATGTTAGATGTATGTTGACATATGCTGACATACAGGTAGGTTATAGGTATATTACTCATAAGTCGAGATACGTTGGAGATTCGTCAGCTGAATGTCTCATACTTGTAACTTACTTCTTACCTATATGTCTAACGTATCTGCAACGCATATGGACGCATAATTAACTTATGAGTAATGTATTAAAACGTGTTTCTAGCGTACAGCTAGCCTATTATTGGCGTAAATGGTGTTTCTGCATATATAGGGTTCTGGTTAGTAGCTCATCATCACTGCTCAACCCACCCTCAAGGAAGATGGAGGATCCTGAGAGGCTGCAACAAGAATAACAGATAGTCGTTCTCCAACATCAACAGAACCTCATCGAATTGGCGATTTACCAGTTCCATGCCAATAGGAGAATGAGAAGATTGGAACGGAGGTGATCTTGGTCAGACCATGGATCCAGAGGTGACGGCAGTTTGGCCTGTATGACCAGCTTCTGGCGTAACTCCATAACAAGGACGAGACATCTTTCAGGAGCCCATCGAGCCTAGCCTGAAGTTTGCCCTCACTTTGCGTTACCTTGCCTCTGGGAGCAAGTATGTCTGGATGAAGTTTAGGTAGAGGGTCCCTCACAACACCCAGTCACTTTTTGTTCGAAAAAAAAAAAAAGGATATAGTGGCATGTGACTGTCTCGAGGAAGCTAAAATTGGCTCTAATCCAAATGTTCCTCTCGGGTCATCCCAGGTGGAGCTCCATCCCTACTCTTCGGCATGCGAGTGTACGTTTCTTGCAAGGACTTGAACCAGCCCTGGAGATGAGCACTGATCTTGCCCATGCGCGTGGCCTGGTCCTCCCAGATCTTGCTCAATCCTCCGGAAGTCGCTCATCTTGACATTCCGAAAGGTTTTCATTGTCATGCAGAAAGCATGGTTTCATCATCATATATAGACAGGAGACAAGCAGTCTTCTTGGCCCTCTTCTTCTTGCTTGTCTTAAAGGCGTTGAAGCCACAGAACCAGAAACTGATCCACTAAGGGAGCTACAGTCAGGGGATGGAGACAGAGTGGCAAACGGCAGCAGGAAAATCAGCAGCTTGGTCAGACGTATTGCTAATCGTCACACTCGCCATGTTCTTCTTCTTAGGAGGCATCTTCACAGGTCAGTGTCTACTGCCGGCACGATGAGCAGCGCATGATTGATTGAGTGGTCTTATGTCTGTTTCACTACTAAGTAGTTCGGTTATCCAGCAGACGAAACGTATTGCGAACGTCAAGTGATCGTTGTGTATGCACTAAGCACGCTGCTCATACGCTACTCATACGCTGGGTATAAGTTCTATACGCTAGTCACACGCTGTGATACGCTCTAATAAGTTACATATAAGTTACTGATACGGCACTCAAACGGCTGTCGATTTTTCTAGCATGTGCGGGCGTATTAATCTACTATCAATATGTTTTATACCCTATGCATACGCTTGTGCTATACGTTATGGTGTGACATCGCCATTAATAACTTCTAAGAATTATTAAAGAATTATAAGTCTTAATTTTCAGAAGGAATGATAATGAGTTCTTTATCTTATCCTCGAACCTGATCAATGGTCAATGTTAACAACGATTAGAGAATTGATGTAAGTCCAGATACCTGATGAGTATTAATATGCTATTATCAGATGAATGAGGCAATATTTTTCTCTTTCATTAAGTGCATATTTTTCAATAACATACTTTAAATTTGGGTAGAAGGGCAGAGCTTGTGATGACATAGGACACTTCTGATTGGTTGACACCATGGACGATGGAATCCAATCCCAGCGTAGCATAGAGTGTCACCACTACAATCATCAAACAGAACTACATCATCAGAACACACCAAAAAGAAAAGTAGACTTTGTAACACGTAACGCAACAATAGATGTTTACATGTATGGGTACGTACATATATACTTGTATTAATGAAAATCAAGGACATATACCTTGGAATTTCATGTCTTAAATATAATTACTAAAACGTTTACCTGAAATGTTTTACATCTTGCAGTCCCTAACTACTAACCTGGGAAGTTATACTTCAGACATGCCTGTGTAACCCTTGCAGTCCCTGGCTACTAGCCTGGGAAGTTATACTTCAGACATGCTTGTGTATCCCTTGTAGTCCCTAACTACTAACCTAGGAAGTTATACTTCAGACATGCTTGTGTATCCCTTGCAGTCCCTGGCTACTAACCGGGGAAGTTATACTTCAGAGATGCTTGTGTATCCCTTGCAGTCCCTAATTACTAACCTAGGAAGTTATACTTCAGACATGCTTGTGTATCCCTTGTAGGGGAAGTTATACTTCAGACATGCTTGTGTATCCCTTGTAGGGGAAGTTATACTTCAGACATGCTTGTGTATCCCTTGTAGGGGAAGTTATACTTCAGACATGCTTGTGTATCCCTTGCAGTCCATGGCTACTAACCTGGGAAGTTATACTTCAGACATGCTTTTGTATCCCTTGCAGTCCCTGACTACTAACCTGGGAAGTTATACTTCAGACATGATTGTGTATCCCTTGCAGTCCCTGGCTACTAGCCTGGGAAGTTATACTTCAGACATGCTTGTGTACCCCTTGCAGTCCCTAACTACTAACCTGGGAAGTTATACTTCAGACATGCTTTTGTATCCCTTGCAGTCCCTGACTACTAACCTGGGAAGTTATACTTCAGACATGATTGTGTATCCCTTGCAGTCCCTGGCTACTAGCCTGGGAAGTTATACTTCAGACATGCTTGTGTAACCCTTGCAGTCCCTGGCTACTAACCGGGGAAGTTATACTTCAGGCATACGTGTGTATCCCTTGCAGACCCTTACTACTTACCTGGGAAGTTATACTTCAGACATGCTTGTGTATCCCTTGCATTCCCTAACTACTAACCTGGGAAGTTATACTTCAGACATGCTTTTGTATCCCTTGCAGTCCCTGACTACTAACCTGGGAAGTTATACTTCAGACATGCTTTTGTATCCCTTGCAGTCCCTGACTACTAACCTGGGAAGTTATACTTCAGTCATGCTTGTGTAACCCTTGCAGTCCCTGGCTACTAACCGGGGAAGTTATCCTTCAGACATGCTTGTGTATCCCTTGCAGTCCCTAGCTACTAACCTGGGAAGTTATACTTCAGACATGCTTTTGTATCCCTTGCAGTCCCTGACTACTAACCTGGGAAGTTATACCTCAGACATGCTTGTGTATCCCTTAAAGCCCCTGACTACTAACCTGAGAAGTTATACTTCAGACATGCTTTTGTATCCCTTGCAGTCCCTGACTACTAACCTGGGAAGTTATACCTCAGACATGCTTGTGTATCCTTTAAAGCCCCTGACTACTAACCTGAGAAGTTATACTTCAGACATGCTTTTGTATCCCTTGCAGTCCCTGACTACTAACCTGGGAAGTTATACCTCAGACATGCTTGTGTATCCTTTAAAGCCCCTGACTACTAACCTGAGAAGTTATACTTCAGACATGCTTTTGTATCCCTTGCAGTCCCTGACTACTAACCTGGGAAGTTATACCTCAGACATGCTTGTGTATCCCTTAAAGCCCCTGACTACTAACCTGGGAAGTTATACTTCAGACATGCTTTTGTATCCCTTGCAGTCCCTGACTACTAACCTGGGAAGTTATACTTCAGTCATGCTTGTGTAACCCTTGCAGTCCCTGGCTACTAACCTGGGAAGTTATACTTCAGACATGCTTTTGTATCCCTTGCAGTCCCTGACTACTAACCTGGGAAGTTATACTTCAGACATGCTTGTGTATCCCTTGCAGTCCCTGGCTACTTACCGGGGAAGGTATACTTCATAGATGCTTGTGTATCCCTTGCAGTCCCTAACCACTAACCTGGAAAGTTATACTTCAGACATGCTTGTGTATCCCTTGTAGTCCCTAACTACTAACCTAGGAAGTTATACTTTAGACATGCTTGTGTATCCCTTGCAGTCCCTGGCTACTTACCGGGGAAGGTATACTTGCAGTCCCTAACTACTAACCTGGGAAGTTATACTTCAGACATGCTTGTGTAACCCTTGCAGTCCCTGGCTACTAACCGGGGAAGTTATACTTCAGACATGCTTGTGTATCCCTTAAAGCCCCTGACTACTAACCTGGGAAGTTATACTTCAGACATGCTTGTGTATCCCTTGCAGTCCCTAATTACTAACCTGTGAAGTTATACTTCAGACATGCATGTGAATCCCTTACAGTCCCTAACTATAACCTGGGAAGTTATACTTCAGACATGCTTGTGTATCCCTTGCAGTCCCTAACTACTAACCTGGGAAGTTATACTTCAGACATGCTTTTGTATCCCTTGCGGTCCCTGACTACTAACCTGGGAAGTTATACTTCAGACATGCTTTTGTATCCCTTGCAGTCCCTGACTACTAACCTGGGAAGTTATACTTCAGACATGCTTGTGTATCCCTTGCAGTCCCTGGCTACTAACCTGGGAAGTTATATTTCAGACAAGCTTGTGCTGCAATCATCCATTCGGCCCTCGTATCAGAGAATATCATTGTATTTTTACGAGGTTTCTGTCCAAGGGCGAGTAATCCACTTCCAAAGTTGGTGGCCCTTGCGAAGGCTTCCTCGTAGGTTATCCAGTGGTAATCTCCCATCAGAACCTACAACATACATGTAGCTGTTAGAGTAATGCTGCTGTTCCAGCTTGTCTATACATAAAACATGCTAGTGTCCATGAGTTAGCCTGCAGACTCAACATGTAATTTGTAACTACAAGTACTGGTAATCTTATTTTCATAAGACCAGATAATTAAGAAAATCAAACTGTTTTCTTACGACAACAAGATTTTACACCTTTTCCTGTCTGCATCCCTCCAGAATTTGATCATCAAAGAATAAGATGCCAAACAGGTCAATATAAAAGGAAACCTGCTTCAAATACATGTTTACCCGACAGTTTATTGATCCTCTTCATTATTTATGTTATAATATTCTTGAAAATACATTTTAGGAAATTCATTTTGTTGCAAACTACAAGGGTAATGATAAAAATCCCTGACCTAATTGTAAATCACCAGGGCAAATTTTTATTTCACTTTATTTTAAATCCTCTGTGAGATGTTAGATCAACTGTTGATACAAACTAAAACACTGAACGAAACGATGAATTTGGATGAACGGATGATGATAAAAGATGATGAAAACTTTAATTGATATTCGGATGATGATAATGATTGAGATGATGATAAAAGGATTATGATAGGATGATGCAAGATTAATCTGAGATACTTTTGATTTAATGATGATGATGATGATGATGATGATGATGATGATGCTGCTAAAATTTGATGATGTTGATGATAAAAAGATGATGGTAATAATTATCATGATTATGATGATTAAAAGATGATTGCAGCAGAGAGGAAAAATAAAAACAATGAGAAAGTTTGTGTGTATGTGTGTGTGTGCATGTGGATGTATTCTTAAAAATTCTTAAAAAATCACTGACAGGCTGGCAAGAGCCCTGTCATGTTGACCATACCCCCCAGGCCCATGGTCTGTTTTTGATAACAGTGACCTTGATCTTAGAAATTTTTTAAACCCCTGTTGCAATATCTACATGTCACTGTGTATTACCATGTCATTTCCAAAAGATTTGTGTATTGCATTCCAAGATCATATCTGGAAATGAAAGTGTCGATGGACAGAAGGACAAATAGTCAGATGGACAGACGGATGGACACTGTGATTTCTACAGGGCACCTGCTTTTCTGATACAGGGCTCTAACAACAATGACATAGGATGTAAAACCAATACCTTTGTATATTAACCAGAAAAAAACTTTTAACAAACCAGAAACCTATTTTTTGTTTCAATTGCAGTTTACACTTAGGTTATATAGAGAAGGAAATCCAAATATATTGTCATTCCTTGACAATGTCAATAAAAACTGAAGTGTCGGTACAAAAATATAGGTAGGGTCAGGTTAGTGGAAACATATCAAGACTTTTTGGCCTAGGGTTATTTACCTGTCTGCTGGATGTACCAAGAAATATGCTGGGTGATTGGATTCAACGGCTGATAGTTACACATCTGAATAGCTGTTTGAAGGACTCATACAACTAAATCAGCCAATCAGTAAGTGTTTCATACGATTGTAATCCCTGCCTAAAATGTATTCCGGTATACAGTGCCTGTGAGTAATTTAAAGAGGTAATTGTTGACAATTTTACATTGAATGAAATCTACAGATATTGAACTTTAGAAAAATGTATGGTTTTAGTAGATTTTAATATGTGATGGTGGATTGATATGGGGTCAAATGTCAGGGGGTGTTCTCGTCCCACTTCACCGGTTTGGCTTGTAAACCTGCAGTTGTCAAATGCCTGTAGCACTCTTATATATGCCCATAAACTCATCAAAAAATGACTTTTGAAGCCTTTGTCAGGTATGTATCTGTGAATCTAAACAGTTGTCACTAGTGTTGAACTTCAAATATTAAATCTATTACATGTAGCTCAAAAGCTTAGTAAAAACATTTAGTAGTATTAGTAAATGATTTAGTAGTGCGAGTCCTTAAGCATGCCCCACCAGGACCTTGTAGTTACCCGGCCCATACATGTGAAGATTTCAGAACACACAGTGAACAGATATATCTCTCCCACTTGTAAAGAGATAAAGATTTTGGTAGCATACCTGCCATGCTTTTCCACGAGTTAATTAGAGGAACAATTCATGATCATTTATAAGTAGAGTGATTTGGAATGAAAAAAGGTACACTTATTTTCCAAAGTGATTAGACTTTTAGGACTTTCAATTTGCGTCTTCGGACATCTACCATCTTCAGCAATTGCTCTAGATCTACTGTTTACCAAACCAAAAGCAAACAATTGCAAGTAGTAATTGTAATGGGGGACCATTACAGAAGTCCCCCAAACTGCCCCCATAGTCGCAAGGATGCATTTGAAAAGGATCACAATGCCATAAAACACCTACATACTAAATTTGAGTGAAATCGACCAAATTTCGAAATTTTCGAAAACTTGAATGCACAACTACATACATGTATGCCCATTATTAATCATGTGAAGTTTCATCAATATGTGACATGGTTTTCGAAAATATGGTCGGACAAGTCCACGGCGGAAGAAGAAGGAAGAATAATAATAAGAAGAAATGGAAACAGAGCAAACACAATATGTCCCCCACCACTCCTTTTGGGGGACATAATTACTACAGTACCACTACACCAACCTACTGTATACCGCGGTACTGTTCACCCCTACCTGTTATCTGCCAATTGTGGAGTATGTTATAAGATAAAGAATAATTTCCTGAAAAAGAAACACAGATAAGACAGGGGTACCTTTATCAGTTTAGGGACATTGTTGTACAATGTACTGACCTTCTTAAACACTCGTCCATTGGGCTGTTTTTCGTCTTCCTCACTCAGAAGTTCACGTGTGCCTAGACACGGTTTTGCAGCATATAATTGGACGGCACGCACAAACAGGTCATCTACGGTGGAACAATCTGGAAACAGGGACGTGCACAGCTGACCTCCTGGAAGGTCAACAGCTCGATATGGTCCACCAGGCACCCCACCAATGGGTCGGCCCTGTACACATGGAATTGTTATATATGTTTGATTACATTCTACAAATTAAAGGTCAGAATGCTATTATAATTAACACAAGTCCTGAGAGAATACGGTGAGCTCACCTGTCAATAAAGACTGCTCAGGATCACGTAAAAGTTGTCAACATATACAGTTTTGTTGTATAATACAAATTCCTTGCAAAAACCACTCTCAGTCTTAGACTGGTACAGTATATTTCATAACATCTTAGGTAGTTAAACTTTGAAGACACCCTTAGATTATATTTTATCACTGGTATATCAAAAAACTTACATTGTATATCGAATATCGAAAAACTTTTTAACTCAAATAAAATCTATTAAAATATACTTATATTCTTTGCAAAAATGTGAAAGTAAAGAAAGATCAGTATGGGAAATTTAGTGTGCACATACCTGGTAACATCAAAAGTTATCTGTCACTATTCCAATAGCTATTCTAAAGTACAGTAGTACATATAGTGTACATACCTGGTAACACTGCTAAAGTACAGTAGTGCACATACCTGGTAACATCAAAAGTTATCTGTCACTATTCCAATAGCTATTCTAAAGTACAGTAGTACATATAGTGTACATACCTGGTAACACTGCTAAAGTACAGTAGTGCACATACCTGGTAACATCAAAAGTTATCTGTCACTATTCCAATAGCTATTCTAAAGTACAGTAGTACATATAGTGTACATACCTGGTAACACTGCTAAAGTACAGTAGTGCACATACCTGGTAACATCAAAAGTTATCTGTCACTATTCCAATAGCTATTCTAAAGTACAGTAGTACATATAGTGTACATACCTGGTAACACTGCTAAAGTACAGTAGTGCACATACCTGGTAACATCAAAAGTTATCTGTCACTATTCCAATAGCTATTCTAAAGTACAGTAGTGTATGCCCAAGTTTAGAGCTCAATCTACACTAACCTGACCAGCAAACATATACAGTAGCTGTTATGCATCTAAAATGACTTTATGTAGAACCTGGACATTTTATATGAGTTACGTAACTCACCTTGACTCTCCTGGAATATTTTCTTTTGTGGTCAGGACGATTGACAATATAGTAGGGTACAAACGTGATGATGTCGTACATAAGTGCCACCATCTTGAGAACACCCACAAGGGCAGATACCCAGACCTCAGCCATTATGGTTTCCCTGGTCACCTAGTGCATACAGCCTCTGAAATGAATTATCGCATTAACACAACTTTAAAGTATTTTCTTTCAAAAAAGGAAGAAAAGGTGTCATGGGGTTTTGTAAATCTGCTCCCTAGATATCCAGGGTTTCCTGAAGGACTCTTTTTAACTTGATAATGCTGAAAATTCCTACAATATTGTCAGGTGACAGTTATAAAGCTATCCTCTGAAGACTTAGTAGTTTTATCTATTTGACAAAGGCAAATTAATAATAATAAATTAATAATAATTTGAGGTTCTTATATACCTCTTTATCACAACCTAGTTTGTAGGTCATCCCAAAGAGATTCACAAATTATCAATCGTGGTTATAGCTAGCTATAGGGCCTTTGCAACCAGCCAGTATCTTTCTCAACTCCCTGGGGAACATACAGCCAGTGCTGCCATTTTGGTGCTCACAGCTAGCATTCAACGATTCTAGCACTGCCCAACCACGTACTCATTTACAGCTGAGTAGACTGGAACAAGCGGAGTAAAGTATCTTGCTCAAAGATACAACACAATGGTCCATCATTAAGTAAAGGTCTGATACATTACCCACACTGTAAAAAAGAGGTCTTTTGGGCATCAAAAGTGTTGAAATTGAAAATGTTTCTGACAATTTTGAATTGTCACAGATAGAGTACATGCATAAAGTATTTTTAAAGAAAGCATAAAATTATTTACATTAAGTAAGGTCATCATTAAGAATAAACAAAGAGGCCCATGGGCCTTAACGGTCACCTGAGTCCTACAGTATTTATTTTTGTTGTTGAAATACGTACCAATTTGAGTAAAAAATTATTAAGTATAACGTTAACTTAAGTTTGTCAGGACCATATGAGCTGATCATTCCTAGACCGATTTTCAGTTAGATCAGCCGAGCAGAACTTGACTTTAAGTTTGAAATAGTTTGTCAAAATGACTGCCGTGGCTGCCAAATTGGATTTCTGATTGACCCAAAAAATAACAACACTTTGTCAGGACCATGAGTCGATCATTCCTACAAAGTTTCAGTTCAATCGGCCTAGCAGAACTTGACTTTAAGTTTGAAATAGTTTTTCAAAATGGCGGTCATGACGGCCATATTGGATTTCTGATTGACCTGAAAAATAACAACACTTTGTCAGGACCATGAGTTGATCATTCCTACAAAGTTTCTGTTCAATCGGCCTAGCAGAACTTGACTTTTAGTTTGAAAAAGTTTTTCAAAATGGCGGCCGTGGCGGCCATATTGGATTTCTGATTGACCCGAAAAATAACAACACTTTGTCAGGACCATGAGTCAATCATTCAATCATTCCTACCAACTTTCAGTTCAATCAGCCCAGCAGAACTTGACTTTAAGTTTGAAATAGTTTTTCAAAATGGCGGCCATATTGGATTTCTGATCAACCCGAAAAATAACAACACTTGGTCAGGGAGATGTCAGTAACCTCTTTGAACAATGTATATTGTGATGATAACAAAAGCATTATCTTTGTAACTTTTTATTTAGAACTTTAATTGCTTAAATTATTTTTTTTTGTGTTTGTTTGCATCTTCACAAACAACTTAAGAAGATATAGTTCTGCCGAAAAGAGTACATAGGAGAAAAAATCACAAAAAAACAAGTGCAGCAATGATATACATGTACATTGGGGGAATCTTGGCACCCACCATTGTACCATCTTCATTTAAAGTTTGATATTTTCTCTTATCTGTTTGATCAAGTCATGTAAACAGTAAATGCACTGTTTCATATATTTACTAGCACAATTCTTTAAATGTAAAAGAAATAAATCTGATCATTACAATATCAGAAAGATCTCATTAGTACTTCCTGTGGCTATCTTGTTTATATGATCGCTTTCCAAAGGAAACATGTACAACAACAGACCAAGGGGATCCTTATATACAGATCAAATTTGAGAAAGATCCCTCAAGTTCTTCCTGGGAAATAGTAATAACAAACATTCACTGTCAAAATCCAAGATGGCCGTCTGTCAGCCATTTTGTTTAAACGATCAGTCTCAGAATTAAACATGCACAACTACAGACTAAAGGGAACCTATACACAATATTTGAGATAGATCCCTCCAGATTTTCCTGAGAAATAGTGATACCAAACATTAATTCACTGCTAAAATCCAAGATCATCATTATGGGCCAGGCCGCCTCTCATCCATTTTGTTTAAATGATTAGTCTCAAAAGTAAACATGCACACCGACAGACTAAAGGGAACCTGTACATGAAATTTGAGAAAGATCCCTCCTGCACTTTCTGAGAAAATGCGATACAAATCATTCACTGTCAAAATTCAAGATGGATGCATGTCGGCCATTTTGTTTATATGATCAGTCTCAAAAGTAAACATGCATGCACAAATACAGACCAAGGGGAACCTACATATCAAATTTGAGAAAGATCTCTTCTGTACTTTCTGAGAAATAGCGATAAGAAGAATTGTTGAAGGACAGACGACAGATGCACCACAGACGAAGGGTGATTTGAATAGCCCACCATCAGATGATGGTGGGCTAAAAAACAACCCACATTAGTTAACAAATAATCAAACATTATAACTACATGTACTTTGCTAATAATAACACACAGAGGATGTTAATAACGGGACCTCTAGACCTCTTCCCCACCACTACAATCAAATCTTCCCACTCAAAAGTGCAGCAGTCAAATACTTAATTCCGTATCAGGACTAAAAACTTCCTTGTCCGAGTCAACTTTCAGAAATGATTTCACACAGGACAAGTGCTTCTTGACACAGAAAGTTTAACTCAGCAGTCATTATATAACTACGGTTTCAATTGCCAGTCTCTTTCATTTCCAGCTAAAGTGGTTAATTGTTAAATGACTAGCTTACTGGGAAAACTTCAATAGAAAAAACGGAAATCTGTTCCTAAAGCTTTAAACACTGGTTAGATCACAGCTGGACATTAAAACCAAGGCCTGATTAGGCAGAACAATTTATTTTATTTTATCAAAGGTCTACTGTGAACATGGTGGCTTTACTACTGTCCCAACACCTTGAACTGAACAAATGAGTTGCAAACATTTTGCAAACTTCATGTTTTAAACCAACAAATATTTTGAAACCATGGTTTACTGATATGCACCTTTTCTGTGACAAGTTACTCCAACTGTTTGGATATATACAAATGTAAGTTATACCCGATAGAAAATGTATACAAATTATATGTAAGTTAAACCCCATAGAAAATGTATACAAATGTAAGTTATATGCACTGGCCTCATCAAACTTAACAGATTTTAGCACCATTTTTCAGTTGTCGCCACAGGTGTGGACTTGTATTATATAGGCCTCATTACAATTATATAGGCCTTATCACAATTATATAGCCTCATCACAATTATATAGCCTCATCACTATTATATAGGCCTCATCACAATTATATAGCCTCATCACAATTATATAGCCTCATCGCAATTATATAGGCTTCATCACAATTATATAGCATCATAATAATTATACAGCCTCATTAAAATTATATAGCTCAATTATATAGCCTCATCACAATTATATAGGCTTCATCACAATTATATAGCATCATAATAATTATACAGCCTCATTAAAATTATATAGCTCAATTATATAGCCTCATCACAATTATATAGGCCCCATCACAATTATATAGCCACATCACTATTATATAGGCCTCATCACAATTATATAGCCTCATCACAATTATATAGGCTTCATCACAATTATATAGCATCATAATAATTATACAGCCTCATTAAAATTATATAGCTCAATTATATAGCCTCATCACAATTATATAGCCTCATCACAATTATATAGGCCCCATCCCAATTATATAGCCTCATCACTATTATATAGGCCTCATCACAATTATATAGGCCTCATCACAATTATATAGCCTCATCGCAATTATATAGGCTTCATCACAATTATATAGCATCATAATAATTATACAGCCTCATTAAAATTATATAGCTCAATTATATAGCCTCATCACAATTATATAGGCTTCATCACAATTATATAGCATCATAATAATTATACAGCCTCATTAAAATTATATAGCTCAATTATATAGCCTCATCACAATTATATAGGCTTCATCACAATTATATAGCATCATAATAATTATACAGCCTCATTAAAATTATATAGCTCAATTATATAGCCTCATCACAATTATATAGGCTTCATCACAATTATATAGCATCATAATAATTATACAGCCTCATTAAAATTATATAGCTCAATTATATAGCCTCATCACAATTATATAGCCCTCATCACAATTATATAGCCTCATCACAATTATATAGCCTCGTCACAATTATATAGCCTCATCACAATTATATAGGCCCCATCACAATTATATAGCCACATCACTATTATATAGGCCTCATCACAATTATATAGGCCTCAACACTACCCCATAGAAAATGTATACAAATGAAAGTTATACACCATAGAAAATGTATATAAATGTAAGTTATACCCCATAGAAAGTGTATATAAATGTAAGTTATACTCCATAGAAAATGTATACAAATGTAAGTCATACACCATAGAAAATGTATACAAATGGAAGTTAAACCCCATAGAAAATGTATACAAATGCAAGTTATACCCCGATAGAAAATGTATACAAATGTAAGCTATACCCCATAGAAAATGTATACAAATGTAGGTTAAACCCCATAGAAAATGTATACAAATGCAAGTTATACCCCGATAGAAAATGTATACAAATGTAACTTATACCCCATAGAAAATGTATACAAATGTAAGTTAAACCCCATAGAAAATGTATACAAATGTAAGTTATATGCACTGGCCTCATCAAACTTAACAGATTTTAGCACCATTTTTCAGTTGTCGTCACAGGTGTGGACTTGTATTATATAGGCCTCATTACAATTATATAGGCCTTATCACAATTATATAGTATCATCACAATTATATAGCATCATAATAATTATACAGCCTCATTAAAATTATATAGCTCAATTATATAGCCTCATCACAATTAGATAGCCTCATCACAATTATATAGGCTTCATCACAATTATATAGCATCATAATAATTATACAGCCTCATTAAAATTATATAGCTCAATTATATAGCCTCATCACAATTATATAGCCTCATCACAATTATATAGGCCCCATCACAATTATATAGCCTCATCACTATTATATAGGCCTCATCACAATTATATAGGCCTCAACACAATTATATAGGCCTCATCACAATTATATAGGCCTCATCACAATTATATAGGCCTCAACACAATTATATAGGCCTCAACACAATCATATAGGCCTAAACAAAATTATAGGCCTCATCACAACTATATAGGCCCAAGCATAATGGAATTTATCTAAATGATACCCCTTCATATGAATGACGATTGTAGGCCTCATCACTACTGTTAGGCAGCCTTAGAATCACATTTATCAGTAAATATATAGTATACACCATGCCATGATCGTTTGCCTGTAGCTCATATCAACCCTTGTAATCAATATTAGCCTCATTGTAGATTTTGCCACAACCAAATAGGGCTAATTATAAGTTGTCGTCATCAATGTAGGTCTGTTATTACAATTACAATAGATACAGTGTAAGACGTAGGGGAGGACCTAAATGCCAGACACATTATATATATAAATATTGTAAAGGAGATAAAATTTAGCCTACACATTCATAGTATTGATGTTTATACTATTGCATGAACTGAGATCAGACCAAAAGGAATTGCTTAAAAGTAACAGTTCTAGTATAGATTTTGATGGCTAGCTGTTTTCACTCGATAAATTATTCATAACAGTGAAGAAATCAAAAACAACATGGGAATGTAGCATAAAAACCAAAACACCTTTAATGAAAAAAGGTGTTGGTCTAAAGAACTGTACAGCCTACGGCCCCACAAATGAAAGATACAACCTCAGTCAATAAATTACCTATTTAACCCTTTCACCACTATAGACTATAATGGACTCATCCAGATCAATGCATGGTAGGGTTTAGTTAAGTTAAATAGGGGTGAAAGGGTTTAAAACAATGCTGTCACTGAGAGTACTCTTCCTAGTTCCTATACACATGTTTTAATTACATCTACATGAATCACAAAATGTCATATTTATCTTGGCCTTAGCATGACTAATTTTTGACTATATATAAACTACAATTGCATACAGTATATTGATTCTGACTTTTACCATTCCTTTTGTTGCCCCCATTACAAATATTTAGGAGTGACCTTTAATTTCCTGGACTTTGAGTCAGAAAATCAACATTTATGGTTTATTTACCCTTTATGAAGCTATGGCTGCAGCAAGCTGTCTGACAAGTAAACTTCAGGATCAGAAGTCTGTTTACATCACCTCATCTATTCCTTTTTTCAGTATTATGAACTTCACTCCATTTTGAAACTCCTAGCGTATCCCTATTTTGTGTGAGATATCGCCCCTTCCAATTGGCAGTGTGTGTTAACCCACTTTATGTGTATAACCTTTTTTTAAATAGTTATAGGGTCCCTGTTCTAGATGTTTGCACTTTCAAAAAAGATTTGTTGAGGTTCTTTTCCATATTTGAGTCCTTTCATATAAAGATGTTGTCCCTATGTATGCCAGCTGGCACTCTTCATTGTTTGCCTCTCTTGTCCATTTAAGGGTAAAATATAGTCCCTTTTATAACTTCAGGAATATATACCTATATCTAAATGTTGGTGTAATCCCTTTTAGAACATGACTAATTTTGCTTTTGTTAACCTTTTTTTTTAAAAAGGAAGCCTTAATTTCAAATATTAAGGCTGTGTTTTCAAAAATCTAAATCTTCTTATCCTGACGAGCAATAGCTCTATAATACAACGTAGTTTTAATGATTTGGACAAAAAAAGAAAAAAAATGAGTTGTCTGCAAAAAAACAACATAAATTTTATAATTTTTATAAATGAAGGATTTTTTCCTTTAACATATGTTACATTAATTACCAAAGAGTTCTATCAAGTGTACTGATATGAAATTCAGCCTATAAGCCGGCAGAGTTTTTTTTAATTTTTTAATTTTTCACTTCAAAATATTTTATTAAATCCATCAGATTTAATGGGAAATGGGCAACAGGCAAAGCCTATACAAGCCCTCTCCCTGAATTATTGGTGTTTGTGATGTATGTGGTTATACTCGTACTGGTGTATATATTTACACAAGAGATAAGGTACCAGGTAATAAAAACTGTATTGATCAACTCCATTTAACTTTTAACTCAGAATTCCTCCTAGGCGATAACAAAGTAGGTCAAACATTAGTGTTCTATATCTGTTGCTATATACCGGGCCCATACGTGCCAACTTTTTCTAACTTCCATGGGGGAGATTCTGCATGCTCAAATATAAAACATAAATAAAATTAGCTGCGATAACGTAGCTTTCTGACGAAGAGACATTTTTTTTATATATATTGGAGCGTGGCGTAGGCAGGTCATGAATATTCGTTCTAAAATAAAATGTGTGTATATACACCCTCTAGAGACAAAACAATCCTTTCTTATGACATATTTTGAGTTGTTCTTTCAGAAGAATGAGCTTGTTTTTAACTTTTGACTGACACATTATTCCAAGAAATATGAACCATATTTAACTTTTGACTCATTTCCAGCATTACTTTCCTTTCTATTATATAACTGAATCAGTCATATCAAATATACAAGTTCACAAGTGTAAAATATGTGGATTAATTATAATTAGGTTGCCTTACAAGCGTCAGCTGTAGGGAATTTCCCATTAGCTCAATAGTAGAGCATCAGGCTCGTGACCCAAGGGTCGCTGGTTCGAGGAGACAAAATGCTTCATTGTAAGAAATCATCATGACTTTAGAACACAACACTAAATTATTCATCTACTTTCATTTATAAAGACGGATTATGCAAACGTATGACCTTCGTTAACATTGACATTTTAGTAATAGCAAGATTGCACATAACATGTGTACGCAAAATTAGCAAAAGTAGTCAAATAGAATATAAGATTACCTTGAAGTGCTCTAATGATTCACAAAAATGTGTGTACGCTTTTCGTCTGTCTGCTCTTGTCTGGAAAAACCCGGAAATGATTACAAACTGAGTCTCGTTGACGCTTAGTTTACGTTTTATGTTTTCGTTCTAGCACGGAACAATCTAAGTCTGTGGTTCTAGACAATATCAAAATCCTTCATATGGGATATTTGTGTATAAAATATAATAAAAAGGTATTTAAAGTTTAATTTGGGACATAGGTATTTGGGAAAAAATATCGAAAAGTTATTTCCGGCGTTTGCTTTATTCCTCGCGTTCACGCTGCATTAAAGCGTTGTTATGATTACGATTATCATAAACATTCTACACGTGTTCTACGTACGTAGATATGATTGACGAAGCCGACTACTGGTTATTTGATTCCATAGCATTGTAAATATTTTATGGTGTCACTTTTCACTTCCTGATATGAACAAAAGTATACTTAAATTGGTATCATCGTGGATACGTGGATAAATCATATTCAGACTCACTAGGTCCAGCGTTGCATAATTATTAAAGAAAAACAAAAAGTATGAGAGTGAGAAAAAAATCGTCACCTCTTCAGGTACGTTAGCAATTTGAGCGGAGTTAACAGTGTATTTTACAATAGAGGTGATCAACAAAACAAATAATTGAAGTGTCGACAAGTACAGCTCCGGACATGTATACAGGGACGTAACCAGGCGGACGCACGGACGCACGGGCTTCCACGTAATTTTTCAAGTATACTTTTAGCAAGGATCACATCGTAGAACTGTATGTGATAAACTTAACAACTCATATAATGCTGGGTCCTCAGTGAATTCATTATCTCATTGATATTGTTTCTTTTATTGACTATTGACTATTTATTAAGAGTTGAGTATAAGTTATGAAGTTATTAAAATTTGGTTATCATAATGTCATTCCAATGTTTCATGTGTTATGACATCGCAATGTCATATATATAAATGAAAAAATAACACAGATACAAATTTATTATATATATAATATATAATTCTCTGAACAACCTTTTTTGATAAAATAAAACAGAGACATGTTGGAACCTCGGCCTGGCAATTTATATGTATATATAATTTAGTCCGATCCTGCCCCGTTCCTATAATTGCAATTCTTTTATCAAATATATATTATACCCGATAATGGTACTTAAATGTAACAAATATATACATCTTATACCCGATAAAAATATATGATACTATAAATGTAGGTATCATAAGTAATATCGACATGAATGTATATATATAATTTAGTCCGATTCTGCCCCGATCATGTAATTGCAATCCTTTTATCAAATTTATCTTACTCCGTCTTTGCGTATTGCAGAGTTATCTTCTCTTGGGAGCAGGTATTGATTGTTACGTCATTGGTTTTTGAGAGTTACGTCATCAATTTTTGAGAAAACGACGTAATTTTCTCACACAAACCAATGACGTAACAATCAATACCTGCTCCCAAGAGAAGATAACTCTGCAATACGCAAAGTCGGAATACCCGATAATGATACTTAAATGTATATAATATATATATTCATAAATGTATATAATAATTAATAGATTCCTGCCCGTTTCTGTCCGTTTCTGCCCGTTCCTGCCCGTTCCTGCTCGTTTCTGTAAATCGTCGAACCCACGAAAATGTTCCTTGTTCATAAGGAACTAATTATTACGCTTTTGATAAAAAATACTACAAGCCAAATATGAAAATAATAGATATTTTATGTCTCATACTGCACCAGAATGGGTTCCGGATTCAAAAAAAATCTCGGGGGGTGGGGGGGGGCTTAAACCCCCCCTGGAACCCCACACACAGGAGGGGGTTAACCTCCCGAACACACACCCTACTCCGCGCTTCGCGCTTACTCATAGCACGGACTTAGATAACTATAATCTAATTCCGTGCTCATAGATAGTCCTGGTTACGTCTCTGGTATATATGCAAACGGTTGTAAAACCAGGGCAGATTGGCATTTATGTCACGGAGGATAACCATTTGAGAAATGGTATCCAGATAAGGTAATATAAAACAACGGATTGATCATCGAAGAGACGATCGTATACGTATAATACAGTACTATATGTACTCGTGTGGAAAGTGATGAAGGGGAGGTAACCGAGTAGGGTAAGAATGGTCGATTGGTGCATAACTAGCAGGAAAAGAAAAAAGTTAAGGCACGGATTTAGAAAGTAATCTAATTCCTCGGTTAAGGCGATAAAGGAGATTAACGTAATGATGGTCATTGATACCATCACAAACAGTCAGGTCGCTCATGCATATAATATGTTTAAATTACAACTAATTCTATATGTATGAACAATGGAATGCTAAATACATATATATATATATATAATTGTTGGTGAGTGGTGACAAAAATTTGATTACAAAACCAATGGAAAATAAAATGTACACAGTACAAGTCATACATTTCTATTTATTCTTTCGTCAATAGTAGAACTTGTTTTTAACCGGTAAACAACAGGTGTAGATATACATGATATTATACAAATGTAGTACGTGATCTAAAAAAAGTACGAAGTGATGCATGTTGGAATGGCATTATAATAATTTATCAATATTACCCGTTTCGCAAGACAATTTAATAGTCTATGAGGGAACTTAGTAATGGAAACTTACACGAAAATAAACAGAGAGCTCGCCGACTATATTTACATTTTAATTAGATTACTTCTAATATAAACTTCCAGTTTCATCGTGGAACTGTATAAAGAGGTACAGTATGTGGGGATAAAATTTCAAACTCAGATCAAGGATTGTGTAGAGAACTTTCAAGGATGGGTGGGGATATAACAAGATATAGATTTCCAATATGTTTTTTGATATAATAGTCGTCTTTAGACCATTATTTGAGAAAAACAAAACACAAGCATGTGCAATACACTGAAAGGGCGCAGGGTCCGAATTTGGTCTGAGATATGTATAAGTAGGTGAGAGGTGACAGAATTTTTTTTTAAAAAAAGATAACAAAATCGGGCTGATATAATTCGTTACCGTATAAAGTGTGAAACCAATGCAAACTTAAAAACACAGAGTACCAGTCATACATTCTTGTTGATACATCAATAGTTGTACTTGTCATACACAGTAAGCAATATGCATCGATATATACGTGTTAATAATGCATGCGAAACTGACGTCTGTATGGTCGTTTAAGTAAGGGATACTTACAGGAGAGAAAAAAAAATCATTCGAAGCCCAAGTCACTAATACCATCATGAAACTCTAGAGGAATCAATTAATGTACTTATGAGTGAGGAGAGGGGAAAGCAACTACAAGCAATTTGAACATTTCAGTTTCATCGTAAAGATACGGTTTGTGGTAATCAAGTTTAAAAATCAGATTTAGATTGTGTAAGGAAGTTACATGTACGAGGGTTGGTATGAGATATAACAAAATAAAGGTTTTCATTATGTTATGGACATCAAGTTCACCTTAAGACTATTACATTAGAAACCAATATGAACATGTACAAAGAGGTAAGAGGGGGAACCCTTCTAAGCTACTGCAGCAAAAATCTAAATAATATATAAACACAAATCAATAATGATAAAAAACCAAATGGAGGCTTGTACATTTCATATACATGTACAAAAGGAAAAAACCCAACTAAAACACTAATACGAGGTACACACTGAAAGGACGCGCGCCCGGATGTGGCCCGGGATATACACACACACACACATATATATATATATATATATAATATATATGTGTGTGTGTGTATTTCTAAACATTTTCTTCAGGTTGGTAAGTATGGATTATGAGAAGTTCTTTTTACACAACCAATAACATTTTCTATGTGACGTTCGATGGCTAGTACGATATGTACACTTTCACCTTCATCAGGCAAATGACCAATGAAGCGTATGCACACAAAGGTGTAAAATGTGTACGAGTTGTCCATAAAATCGATGTCGATTTCGGCTGCGCAAGAAGCGTATGTACAATAGTTGTTATATATGTACCGAAATGACTCAATTCAGCTACGCTTTGTTAACACTTGGTCATAGATGACCAACCCTAAGGTGTAAAAGGCGTCTCATAACCCTACTATCAAACTTAAAACAAGAGATCAAGATTACCGAGGGCCAATACAGATATATGTATCCCACAGCAGAGAACACTCCTATAATGTACTGCACACCCAAGATCCACAAGTAGGGAAACCCACTGAGGCCTATTGTGGACTACACTGGATCCATTGGTTACAATGTTTCCAGATCATTAGCAGACATTCTTGAACGCTAGTGGATAAATCGGAACACCTTGTAAAGAATTCAAAACATCTAGCGGAAGCTATGTCTACAATCATGATTCAGGAAGACGAAAAATTCATTTCACATGATGTTGTCTCTCTCTTTACTAACACACCCATTGACGACACACTTAGAATCATTCGGAAACGCTTAAAATTAGACAGATCCTGGCGCAAAAACACAAACCTTCAGATTTAGGACATCATGGATTTATTGGAGTTTGTGCTCACAACAACATATTTTAGTTTCAGGAACAACATCTATCAACAACGCTTCGGCACTGCTATGGGTAGTCCAGTGTCTCCAATCGTTGCCAATTTGTTCATGGAACATCTGGAGCAAGAAGCAATAGCCACTGCCCCAATAGAATGCAAGCCTAGCGTATGGAAACGTTATGTTGACGACATACTTGAGATAATCAAGAAGGGGCCACAGAAATATTTGACCACATATCAACACCATAGATGCCACTAACAACATCAAATTTACATGTGAGGAAGAAACCAATGGCACAATGCCCTTCCTAGACACTCTACTTGTAAAGAAAGAAGACGGAACCGTGAAGGTATTGGTCTATAGAAAAAACCCTCATACGGACCAATACCTCAACTTCAAATCTCACCATCCTTTACACCAGAAGTTAGGCGTCATACGCACATTGCTCAACAGATGTGATACAATAGTCACAAAACAACAGGACAAAACACAAGAGCAGAATCACATCGCTAGGGCAATGAGAACATGTGCATATCCGGAATTGGCCCTAAAACAGGTAAAACAACAGTGTCAAAG